TACAGGAAAGGCAGTAGGTAATAATTTAATAGTTCTAAAGCGGCAGTTTCATATGGCAGTTGAGTACTATAACAATTGTTGTACTGTTTGGTGGTGGTGACTCGTATTGCGATAGGTTTACTATTGGCTTGATTCACAAAATGAGTTTAATTACTTGCTTTAAAATGACGCCAACTAAAAAAGCAGTGTTAAATTGTACCAACAAAAGTAATGTTAAAGAAAAAGCTAGAAGCAAATCGAAAAAGATATAGAAAGGAAAGGTATTGGAATCATCTATGCCTGAACCTGTTTTGTGGCTATCCGAATTTTTTTTTTTATTATTTCCTCTTCGACGCACAATTTTTTGGCAATATCAGTACGGGATTTTATTTTAATATTATTTTTATATTCAGCTAACTTAATGGTCCAGAGACATTTATTTTCGCCATTTATTTTAACCTAAATGCAACTAAGTACTATAACAAAAAGTAGAAGTTTTTCTGGTTATAACAGTAACTGGCATAGCATTCAGCTTCGATGTGGTGTTTCACAGTGGTGTTTCACAGCTAACAGTGTGACCACACCTACCTGATAGTCGCTGCTATAGTACTCAGCTGCCATATGAAACTGTTGCTTAAGAATCTTGAGCTAAAATTATTTTTTTTATTTATATTAATTGATAAATTGTTGTAGTGTTACGTATTGCCATTGCCAGCGAGCCACAAGCTCAGCTTTCAGTAAATTAGTTTATGATAAAGCAAATAAAAATATTTGAAGTGGCCGTTGCTCTGTGAAATAAATAAAATGGCACAATATATTATAAAACATTTGTTTACAAAATTTTAACAAATAAGTACTTATTTAATACTTATATATGTATACATGACACTAAAGTAACTTTAAGTATTACGATTTTGTCGACGACCAGCCAGCATATTGTATTGCGTGAGCGTAAGAGATGATTGTTAGTTGTTACTAAGGACTTTTCCCTCTAGACTGCTTGCCAAGTGCTCAAATCTAATTGTGCTTGCAAACCCTTTAATGTGCTTACAAGCTCTTTGAGTGCTTACAAGCACTTTTAAATGGCTTGAAATGCAAAATTCAATTACCAATTAGCAAGGGTTTCAATTACCAAGTACCGAGCACTGTATTTTAAAAGTAATTGCAAGCACTGTCCTCGAATCAATATTGAGCTTGAAGCTCTTTTTCAAGCACTTTTGAGGCAATTACTGCCCAGCTCTTTTATATACATTGTGTAATAAAGAGGAACCACCTTGAATGTATCAGAATGTAGAAATGTCATAAAAAATCATAAAAAGCACATAAATTTGTATTAATAGGGACATCTTCTGACGTACCTTTGAGATGTCTTCTGAAAGTGAACTGTACTTTCTGACTTCGGGAACCCCCTCGGGGTTTCATCCTTCTATCCGGATTTGGTAATTTCGAAGTTTTAGCTCTTATATTTTGAACCTACTTTTTACAATATTTTAACTAAAATTAGATACGGAAAATTATGTTTCATTTGCTAATTGAATTTAAATATGTACGCATTATTCTTCCTGTTTAACCTAACTTTTAATATTATTTCCAAAATATACAATCTCCAACAAACGATACCCGTATTTCACGTGCACAAATTGATGACATGAATTGTCGAACAGTAACATTAATAACTTCAGTAGTAATCCTAAAACAATGTCACTGACGTATTTTACTAAACTAATACTTAAGTTGTCATAAAATTTACTAAAACAAAACGTCCATTTTCATTAAATTTCTTATTTTACCAGATCGCCCTCTGGAGGAAATGTGTAAAAGGTTTTCCAGTGTTGCCAATAGTAGCGGAATTCCGCTACGTCAATTTAATACAATTTCCCTAACCTGTGATTTCTTTGTCAAACATAATTAGTATACATGACTGGTCACGTTAAAAAAGAAAAAATCGGAAAAAATAAAAAACAGACTAGCTGTATAAAAGAATTATTAGTACATAAATAAATCATAGTACAATCAGCGGCTTTGGTTCTGGTAACACTGTTCTTATCCTTTTTATATAGTGATAGAGGTGCTTTGGTTAATATGTTTTTTGTCACTTGAGATCAGGGTTCGAAAATATCATGATATTTATATAAATATCATACCACATGATATATATCGGATATATTCCGATATATATCATTTTTAAAATTTAAAAAACAGTACTGTTTCTTGCACAAACTATATTTTAAATTTTAACACAAACATACTAACAAAAACCTATATTCTAAACAACAAAACCGTTTATTCTAACTCAAGTTAAGAAGAAAAAAACATAATTAATAAAATAAACCCATTTTAACATTATTTTGTTAACATTAATATTTTAACACAAACACATATATGTAAATTGCTAGTTATTATACTTTTATACAGGGGCGTATTGAGACATTTTCAGATGTTCAGAATGGTAGAAAACATTTTTAATTTAATAAATAAAATGATGGAATATATCGGATATATATCAAGGTATTTTTTTTTCTCCTGGGCTCGTCTGACTATGTGTCTCCGAATAACACTGAAGCCTATTGGCTTATTGTGTTTTACCCCATGTTAGTTCATAGCACCCACTCTATCACCTTTGTACAGATCCTTGGGTGAGTGGGTTCTATACGTTGTTGGATCAACCTGGGGTTGTCCAAAAAGAGCCTACCTTTTGCGATCTAGAGCTTCGCATTCGCACAGTATGTGTTTGGCCGTTTCTGGTTTCTTGTGACATAGTCGGCACATGAGTTCCTCATTGTACATGCCAATTTTGTTAAAGTGTCCCTTTACTGGGGCGTGCCCAGTCATGAACCCTGTTATCACTTTCAACTGGTTCCTATTCATTAAGAGTAGTTCTCCAGTTCTTTTGGGCCATGGTCTGCCTATGAAGGCTTTTCCATGTGCCTGTTTTGGGGTGCTTCCCCAATAGTTGATATGTTGTTCCCGAATCCAGTCATTTATAAAACCCCGGACTGTACTTTTTGGTACTCCTGGGTTTGTGTCTGGTTCCGGTGTTTCTTCTGACCCTCTTTTTGCAAGTTCGTCAGCCTTTTCGTTGCTTTCGATCCCTTTGTGACCTGGCACCCAAAATAGTTTTACTCTATTTCGGTCTGCCAGTGTTCTTAGTTCTTCGATGCATTCCCATACCAGCCTCGACGTAACTTTCTGACTCGATATGGCCTTAAGTGCCGCTTGGCTGTCTGACATTATTTGAATATGCTAATTTTCGACAGCTCTTTCATTGTTCGTTTTTGCACATTGCAAAATTGCGTATACCTCGGCCTGAAATACCGAGGAATGTATTCCTATAGCATAGCTATGGTTAGTATCAGGGTTTTTGGAGAATACTTCTGCCCCAGTGCCTTCCGCAGTCTTAGACCCGTCTGTATACCAGGTTTGTTCCTGTCGTTGGGCATTGGGCTCCCTTATGGTGATCTCCGCTCTTTCCTGTATTAAAACCTCAACGGGAGTATTAAAAGAGTACCTCTTGGTCAAGTGGTCTGATCTCATGTCTAGCACGTCTCCTGTCACTAACCTTGAGATACTCATGTGACCTGGCCTAATATCAAGATTTCCCAGTGTATTCCCTAATCTGTAAGCACCTAATCTTGCCTCCCCTTGTATCACATAGTGAAGAGGTGGGAGTCCTAGTAGTGCTTCCATTGCAGCAGTGGGGGTTGTTTTCATTGCCCCCGTTATTCCGAGGCAGGCAAGTCTTTGTACCTTGCTTAGCCTCGTTATTGCTTTCCTTTGCTGTGTCTTTGGCCACCACACCAAAGCTGCGTTCAGAATGGTAGAAAACATTTTTAATTTAATAAATAAAATTATCGAATATATCGAATATATATCAAGGTATAAATATCATGATATATATCGTGATATATATCACTTGATATATATCCTCCGAACCCTGCTTGAGATATTTGTATTGTTTAATATTTATCGATCCAAAAATGTTAACACGTAATAAAAATTTTAGCCTAACGCGGGAAAACTGAATAATTAATCAGTATTTGAAAGATTTCCTGTTGGATAGGGATTAGGATTTGTATTTGTGATGATAATCGCATCAAAATAATCATTTGTTGTTATAAAAACAAAGCTGCCTGATTGGAATTTTCCTCGGATCTAAAAACCTTCCTTTTTAAATCTTGGACCAAAAATGGTCGAACCTAAAAAATGAAATCAACATTTGTTGCATTTTCGTTTCGGAAATTAAAATCTACAACTATTGATAGTTCTCCACCTCTACTCCGAGATGTGAAACTACAGAATATATGATTTCATCAGAAGACATATTGCAGTTACAAGGTCAGCTTTGCGCCATCTATCAGTTCACATAGCAAGTAATAGAAGTAGTATTTTATTTCAAAGGAAACTGTTAATTATCTTTTTGGTAACCTTTCTAAGGTTACGGCATCAGCATAAATTTCTTTAGCTTTATGAGCTCAGTGCTCAGTTTTCTAGTAACACTATCTGAGGTCTACCTGACATGCCAAGAAGCGCGTGTTAGGACTATTATGGATGATTTTTGTGAAATAAAAACTTTTTAAAAACGAAACACTAGCACTGTGTAGATAGTGTGCCCATACAACAATAGTAGAAGACAACGAAAAAAGAAATTTCTGATGACGCTTGCAACGGCAAAATATGTCTTCCAATAAAAACATCTATTATACTTCCTCTATGATACAAAACTAGTGGCAGCACCTGACATATACTTTTATGTTGTTTCTTTTTAAGAGAACTTCTCACGTTGTTATTTGTAGATCTAATAATTTTCAATTTTATTTTTAAAATTGGCAAAAAAAATGTTTTTTATAATTGTTAATGAGTTGTTCTCGAAATAATTGGTAATATTTTTCGTGTCACGCTTATTAAGGTGTGCCACTTATGTTCCTTGTAGGAAATTAGTATCATCTACAGAACTTTGTCTACGATCTATTCTTTTTAATTTTTAACAGTTAAAACGTATAAAAATGTTTTTTTTTTTTTAGGTCACGTCGAGAACGAGTCTTACCTAGTAAAGGCTTTAGAAAAAATCGGCCAAAATGCAACATCCAAAGAACACGAAGAAATCATAGGAAACGCTTTTTTAAAGTTCGCCGTCGTAACTCAAGAACTATCGGCCCTGATGAAAACTCTCATGCAAAATTTAAGTAACATAGTAATGTTTCCGTTAGACAGCTTACTCAAAGGGGACCTAAGAGGAGTTAAGGGCGACTTGAAAAGACCTTTCGACAAAGCTTGGAAAGATTACGAAAGTAAATACGCGAAAATCGAGAAGGAAAAGAAACAACAAGCTAAAGATGCTGGTCTTATCCGGTCTGAAGTTACCGCTCCTGAAATTGCCGATGAAATGGAAAAAGAAAGAAGACTGTTTCAGTTACAAATGTGTGAAGTAAGAAAAAAATACAATCAGTTGCTTGAACACCTGATAAATTCAATTAAAAACAAGTAGAAATAAACAAATCATTGAAATTCTTTTTAAATTTAATTTAAAAAATAATTTATTATATCACAATAAGTAGATTTTCTGTTTAAAAACCATATTAAAATATTAAAGTTACTCTCATCCTGTATATTTTTCAATATTATAATATACATATTTTTTTAGTACTTAATAAAATATAATGAAATTAAAACGAAAAAAGGAATAGACCTTCTTCAAAGTTTAGTGGAATATTATCATGCTCAAACAAAGTAAGTGTACTTATGAGAATCAATGTCACATCTATAATTTTTAAATAAATTTTAGTTACTTTCAAGATGGACTGAAGACAATAGAACATTTCGGTAACTATGTAGCAGATTTAAGTATTAGGTTACAAAAAATCCGACAAGCTCAAGATGAAGAAAAGAGAAAATTATGTGATCTAAGGAACCTTATAAAATCGACGCCAAGCATTGAAAAAGAGGTAAGCATCCATAGCGTCACTTATAACACTTTTAACATAAGAGTTTAATTACTCGAGGGAGGTATAATTATTAAATAACCAGTAGTAAAAATAGGCCATTAACTCCAAATTCTTTCGGATTACACCAATTTGGCTGGAAATTTTTAATTTAATTTTTAGCTTATCGTACCCTCCTCTTCAAAAGTTATATGCTCCTGATGTGCATGGGCGTCGTTACACGATTCTATAGGGAGGGGCAAAATTTTGAAAAAATTTAGAATGTTTATTTGTTGGAAAACAAAAAAAATGAAAAATTAAAGAGAATTTTCTTATGATGGATTTAATTATTCTGTGACGTCATGGCTTACTTTCGGTTTTTTCAGAAATAACACAAAATCGCTATTTATTTTTTATTTTTAAATGAAAACCCTTTTTCTTATTGAAAATTTGAATTTCTGGGACATTTTTGTATAAGAAGCGTGTATTGAAAATTTTTTGTCAGTAACATATTAAAAAAAATATATTCCAATATGATGGTCATTTTGACAGGTGACAGAAAATTTTCAACACATGATTCTTATCCATAAATGTATCTAAAATTCAAATTTTCAATGGAAACAGGGGTTTCTATTTAAACATTTAAAATAAATTGAGATTTTCTGTTATTTCCGATAAAACAGAAGTAAGCCATGAAGTCACACACCATTTGAATCCAGTATATGAGAGTATTTGTCCCAAGCTTTTAAACAAATAAGTTTTCATTCCAATATCTCAATTAACAACGAAGATAAAAGCGGATGGAATTATTAAAAGGTTTGCTAATAATAAAAATGCTTAGATACGCCACTGGTATACGGTAAATGGGTGTCAATGGGAATTTTGAAGCCTAAAAAGATTTTATAAAGTTCGTACATTCCTATATGTTTTTCCATAAACGAATTAATAGTGACATTTTGACAGATGACAGAAAATTGTTAATACACGATTGTTATACAAATATATCTCAGAAATTTAAATTTACAATAAAAAAGGGGGTTCCCTTTTAAAATTAAAAAAAATTTCGATTTTCTGTTAGTTCCGGAAAAACCGGAAGTAAGCCATGACGTCACAGAACAATTGAATCCATCATAAGAAAGTATTTGTTCTAGTCTTTCAACAGAACAAAATTATTCCGATATCTCACTGAATAGCGAAGATAAGGGGGAGTGGAACTTTAGTAGTAACCCTAACAATGTCACTGACCTATTTGACAGAACTGATACTTAAGTTGTCATAACAAGCATCCAATAAATAAAATAATCCAACAAAAAAGACAAAAACTAAATTAAAGAAAAAACAAGAAACTTAAAACACATTTTTAAAAAACAAACAGAAGGTGTGATATAAAAGAAAAATATGAACAAGAAGACACACAGCAACCATACATAATAATATAAAAAATAAAAATTTATAAAAAAAAAACATAAAAAAACTCACTCAAACACAACGATGAACACAAAAAAAACACTGGGAAAACGCAAATTTTAAATTTCTTTATTCTCTACTAAAAACATTGATAACAGAAAACATAATACATAATTTATTTTTCAGTCAGCCTATTTTCATTCATTATTCGCTCCGTGCGTGACAGCAGCGCCAACTATTTTATGAACTAACGGACGATATTTGCGTATACTGACAGTACAATTTTTAATAGGGTTCGTAATTAAAAAATATATATGTTAATTTTAATAAAAGTATATGGATTTGTAAAACAAGTGAAAAAATTATTTTTATTTATTACTTCTGCTAAAAAAAAGTAGTATAATCAATAAAAATCAATATACTGTACATTATGAGCAAACTGTATATATTGCATATTTTGAATAAGTGGTAGTGTATTTGCGATTTTGTAAAATAAAATGAAATTAAAAACAACATAAGGGTACAACTAAGCATTTATTTGTGTTATATAACAAAAAATAATTTTATTTTTTGAAATGCATAAATGTATATTGCACTTAGAACAAACAAAATTAGTCCTAGAAGTTCATTCTGGGAATTTGTTTCTATTTTCACATTTTCTTCATCATTATCATCATCATCATCATTATCATCACCATCATCACCATTATTATCATCATCAGTGCTTACTTCTACGTTCCCATTCATAATCGTCATCGTCGTCATCACTAAGCCCTTCAATATCTGATAGGCCCTCTTCAATTAGTTTTAATATTTGTTCTTCAGTTAACACACCTTTTTTACTCATTTTTCTGTGAAATAAATCAAGAATAACAAAAACTGTAAATAACGTGGAGTTTTTTTACCATATAGTCTGTTCGCTATGCTTACGCGGGTTTCGGATTAACAAAATTATGCAAATTAGTCATTGACAACCAGTTCCAACAAGCCTCTTCCCAAGAAATTAGATAAAATTACCCTAATGGTCAGATTTAAATTAAAATAACATTAGGGCAGGTACTAAATTTGTTACAAATAATTAATTAATCCGAAACCCGCGTAAGTATAGCGAACAGACTGTACCTGTCGATTTCCGTTTATTCACAATGTACAATATATTGTACAGTATTATTTACTCCAATATAGACAAAACAAACTAAATTTTTAACAAGTTCAGTATAAAAGTAACAAATACACGTATTGGTTATCACCAAAATAAATATTGCCGCTATGTCACAGAATGTTTCAAAGTTTGAAACGCCATTTCATTTTCAACGTTATGAAAAAACCGCTACAAGAGTAACAGGCACCATTAATAAAATTTTTTTTGGGTAAACTATTCTTCGTTAGATGAAGAAAACAGTTTAAAATAGTAATAAGGATGTATACAGAATACTGCACTTTGTGAGTAAACTGGATAGAAGCATTCTACAAATTCGTTAGGTTTTACGTAAAGGGTTAAGGATAACGGGTAAAAATTATTTTGTTTTCAAATTTCCCGCGGGTAATGTCAAAAATCAGATCGGCAACACTGCACATGTCCCTTATTTTTTATTATTACTATTAAAAAAAAAAAAAACGTAGCACAATCAAATACAATTTTCTAAAGTATTTGTTTGGAAGTACCTAAAAATAATGATGGTGAATAATTTATAATCAAGTCAAAATTAGAAAAAATCTTGTAGGTAACACGTTACGAAATGCCGTTTTGGTAACTCGTAACTGGTTACATAAATAGCTATTATTTGGTTATTTTTATTGACATTGTTATTATTTCTGATTTATTGCAACGCCAGAATCCTCAAAAACCACCCGCTATTACGAAATTAAAAAAAAAATAATTTTCAATATCTTGAACTTTTGTGATGGTGCATTCATAATGAAATAAAATTCCGAGCCTGTTTATAATATTTTTTCTGATTTATTATAACTTTTTTCCCTCAGAAATCGCCGTTGTGGTTAAAATTAACTATCATGTTTCTTACAATTAAACAATGAAAGTAAATAGGAAAAATTAAATTTTAACATACATTTAAAATATTGTAATAATAATAATAATAATAATACTCTCCCTAATTCACCCTCTTACGAGTGAATTTCAACCCCTGAAGTCGACTGAACGACTTGTGTAGGGGAAGGGACGGCTATTATTATTATTTGCCGTGGCGCTCCGGGGCGACTTAAAGATGATTGATGGTGTCATTTGACTTACAGGTGAGGAAAACCCGGAAAACCTCACCCACCATCGCAAGTCAAATTAATAAAAATGTATGTATATATGTTTTGTCAATTTTCATTTTCTATTAAAACACTTTTCACTTTACTAAGTATCAATTTAGGTGTGCCTGAAGATAAAATAACTACTTCTAAACCGGTCGCTTTTAAATAACTTTGTGAGAATTATAGGACTTTTCTTCTACCTCCTTACTCAATTAAATAACTAGATCGAATATGAAAAAAACATACTGTTTTAGGTTGGTCCTCAAGTAGATAAAGGTGCGTCAGGTTACTCTTTACACCAACTGCAAGGTGATAAGCATCATGGTGTGACAAGAACGGGTCATCTACTTAAAAAATCCGAAGGTAAGATGAGGCGAGTTTGGCAGAAAAGAAAATGCAGGGTTCAAGCCGAAGGTTATTTAGATATATGTCATGCCGATGAAAGTAAACCTCCTACCCGGGTGAATCTGCTGACCTGTCAAATTAAAATAGTCCCTGATGATAAAAGAGGTTTCGACTTAATATCTTGTAAGTAGTAACGAATTGTTTTTCAAACGGTGAAATACATGTTTCTGCATTGTAGATAATAGGACTTACCATTTCCAAGCTGAGGATGAGGCGGACCAGAGAGCGTGGATGTCAGTATTAGTAAATTGCAAAGAAATGGCACTAATGAAAGCATTTGATGATAGCACTAAGACTGGTAGTGATAAAGTCAATCATAGTTTTATGGAACTCCAACAAGCTATTATAAAGTATATACAGAAAATACCTGGTAACGACAGATGTTGTGATTGCAATTCTCAAAATGGTAAGAACATTGATCTTAATACTTACGAATATAAACTATTGTATTTGTTTCTTTAGATGCAACGTGGTTATCAACGAATTTTGGAATAATAGTGTGTATTGAATGTTCTGGAATTCACAGGGATTTGGGAGTGCATATAAGTAGAATACAATCATTAACTTTAGATAATGTTGGAACTAGTCAGTTAGTACTTGCAAGATTCATGACTAATCACTTATTTAATGATATCATGGAGGCTCAACTATCACCCAATGAGAAATTAGACCCTTCAAGTACAATGTAAGCTTATTTATTATTATTATTAAAATTATAGCACTTTTAAATCAAATTTTATTTTTTAGGGAAGAAAGACTTAATTTTATTAGAGCTAAGTATGTGGATAAAAGATTTGCTCTAAGAACGTGCGAATCTGAACGTGAAAAAATGTTTGAACTGGAAGGGGCTGTGAATCAAGGAAATTTACAACTTCTATTGCAAACGTTTGCTGAAAACGTCGATTTTGGTACACCATTACCTTCCTCGGTAAGTTTCTGTTATTTATTTCTTAAACTATTTAAAACCAGCAACAGACGTGTTTTACCTTAATTGAAAAATAATTGTTTAATCTACACTGAAAATAAGTTTATTTACAACATATAAAACCATCTTACAATGTCCATATATAGTGAATGAATCCCGCCATCTTTTCCCAAATGCTTAAATCGAAGTTAGTGATAGTTAGAAATCTGTAACGAAAAAGTATTAACACGAATTTTGCTTTAAGCATTTGAGAAAAGGTGGCGGAATTTAGCCACCTTGTGTAGACATTAACTACATGTCTAACTAGTCATTCATACTTATATTTGTTGGGAAGCCAATGCTAAAATCATGACATCTCTAAATAAGTGTGAGAGAACCGATGATCTTGGCAAAATATGGCGACGAGCATCATATGTAAGGTGTATTGAAAACATCCATAAACATATAATTCTTAAAGGGAAATATTTAATATTAATTTTCTCAATAAATACTTAATGATATCAAAACGATTTTTTATTCTTAATTATTATTTTAGCAGATACCTATTCATTGTTTTCTAAAAGTATTTAAATGAAAAAGGATGCCGATTGTCGGTAGCTGTACAAATTATGTGCACTGTAGAAACTGTGTGGTAGAATTTTTTATAATTGATAATGAGCAATACGTCCTCTAGCTGTGAAGTTAGGAACTTGAAAATAATTTCCAGCGATTTGTAGAAATCACTTTAAAACAAAAAAATCTGAGATTAAGTAATTATTGTTCATTGGAAATGGCCAGCGTCCTTTATTTTTTACACTCCCGGTACCTACGCTGTTGATATATTATTCTTTCATAAAAGTAATACCTACAGGTTTTATATTTTGACTCACTATTATTGAATATATAAATTATTTGGATACCTATTAATGTTATTGAAGAGATGCTTCTTGCATATTTTAAAATTCTAATATCCCAAACTATTAAAGATTCATATATTGGGACTAGGTGGCAATTTAAAAACATTATTTAATTATTTATTGTTACATTATTTAACAGGTCAAGACCCAATTAGAGAGTAAGAGTACAAGAATACATAAATACAATTAATTTAAAAATAATATTCTAATTATTGATTGAACAGCAGGTGAGAAAAAAGCTAAGAGAATAATTTTTTAACATTTTACTAAAAGTTTCAGAGAACATTCTTAAAGAAATAACACCTAATATTATTAATTGAACTGTAAAATAAATCATGCACTCATCTTATTGACTCATAATTATTACACATGGTGTATATAGGAGATGGTAACAGTATAGGGTTTATGTATATCTAACAGTATAGGTACCCCCCCCCCCCCTTAAGCTAATAAACAGTGTCAATTAACCACTTGGTTAACTTACTATTAAATTTTCCCATCTAGGTTTCCATAATTTATCCAAAAAAATACATTCTTGTATATTTCTAAAATATTGATATTTATAATTTCTATTGAAATGACTCGCCCATCGAAAAACAGATGTCTAACTTAAGTGTCTTTCGGGGTTAATGCCCCAAGGCCATGTGGTTTATTGAGTTACATTGATAATATTGTTACGCAGCACCCTGCAGCGTGCTGCGGTCGTCATAAGTAAAGGTACTAGTAAATGAAGAAGATAGAATAGTCCAGAAATGTCATTCCTTGTAAAAGAAAAATCCGGATTGTTCAAGAAGGTTCTAGAAGGTTGAGGCGAGCTTTATAAGTCGACGACCTAACGTCAGAGTTCAGTTTTATGATAGACGTTACATGTTAATGTTATCAGTTATATAATTGTTGTTAAAGTTGAGTTGAAATAAATTGTGATACCAAAAACCTGCGTAACAATATTTTTAAACAAATGTCAGGCCCTTATTCAAAACGGGACCCCGGCGATATCTTAAAGTTACATTAAACTTTTCGAGTCATCATTGAAAATGCAGACGTCAGGTTCGTCTGAACTAGACATGTACTAATTTTATCTAGCGTTGTGACGTACGTCGATTGTGGGTACGTCGTAGCGTTGAGCGTCGCTTTGCATCGAGATGTCTAGCGTCGTGGTGGATAGGAAGGTATTTAATACGGTACGAAAATATGTTTATAGAGGTTTTTGGATAGAATTCTCATGGGATAACTTTTATCCAGAGGCGGCTCGTAACCAAAATTTTGGGGGTTCACAGTAGCAGAATATAGATCTCCGTACATATGTAGGTAAAAAACTGTCAGTGTTTTAAACTTATATTATAAACTTTCTAAAACACTGAAATTTTGTTGTACTGGTATCTATATTCTGTCATTGTGAACCCCCAAAATTTTGGTCACAAGCTGCCCCTGCTTTTATCTTTTCTGTAATATAAGAGACTCTGCGAAAAGAAATATTACTTTTATTTAATAGGCATCATATATAGGATTTAATTATCTAAAAGATTTTTCGTGAAATATAGGAATTGAAATTTAATAAGAATTCTTCTTCTTTAATAAATTGGAATTAATAAATTATGACGGTACCTGGGTGGAATTACTTTGTGGTCTCGTGATGGAATTAATATAAGACAAAAATCCAAGTGAGAACTAGATAGTTATTTGTTATGCGACTTTTCATGTCCAAGAGGTCAATATTCATGTCTCCTATGAATATTTGAATATGTTTATTCAAATTATTGGTTAATTAATTTTTTAATATCGTTAATAAAGGAAACCGCTGAAGTTTGTGGAAATCTATAGATAACATTTATACCAATTGTTAAATTATTAACTTTTAGACTTATCATTGTGACGGAAATATATAGGTTTTAAAGCTTAATTACAACAGTTACCTTGGCATCTAAATTTAATTTGATTAATAAAAATGTTTCCACAATTAAAATATTGATACACATATCCAAAAAAAGTAATATGAATTTTAATATGTTCCCCTCAACATCTATAGTTTCATACAATGTAAATAGTCCCTATTTTCAGTGTGGACTAGATAAATCGCATGTAGAAAACTGGATGTATAAATTTGTTTTTACTATTTCAGAAAATCGGCGAAACGGCCTTACATAGGGCGATATTAAACGAAGCAGGACGCACATTGCATATCGTAGATTTTTTGATTCAAAACATGTCAAATTCGGCGATAGACAAGCCAACACATCAGCCAATTGTTCCTGAAATGAGTGGCTGTAACACGGCTCTTCATCTTTGTGCTTTGTACGATAAAGTGGAATGTATGAAATTGTTGTTAAGAAGCGGTGCAGATGCTTCTTTAAGAAATTCGCAGAACAAAACAGCTATGGATATAGCCCAGGAAATGGGAAATAACACTTGTCAAGAATTGGTAAAAACATTATTTGTTAAATATGAATGTGTATACACACTTTTATAATTCCATGAGAGTTACATTGTTATGCAGTGACCTATTTTTATTCCTTGAATATTCCCTAATTTAGGAATTATGGAGTAATTTTTCTTTTAGTTACAAAATGCGGAAAATAGATTGAAAAATTTCTTTGACAATATAAACATTGATTGGAATTTGCTACACGATGATGGGTCGACTGATTTTTCAGATGATGAGACTATTATGGAAGATAGGGTAAGTACATGTTCATATCTTTTAGCTAAACGTTTAGAAATTTCAGGAAAATATTTTTAGGACCTGCTATTTCCAAATTATTTTATATACATGTTTACAAATGAGAAAAATACATAATCCTACTCAAATAATGTATGTCCCAATATAGGCGAGAAGATAGAGTAGAATTATCTGGGAAAAATTTAAATGAAGGTAAAAATTGGTATGTTACTCCAATTCGATATCTTGATGATTCCCTTTTGGGTGTATTTTTTTCCTCTTGATTTTTTTTTTTGAGAATGCTTTGCGAGCGGCTAATCTGTAATGAAAAATCTGACACTCGTGTTAAAAATACTTTTCTATTACAACTAGCGACACTTCAAAAGAAAGCAAAGAAATTTAGATTTTGCGGGCTATGCTTTCTTAAGGTGATTACAGCACTTAATTCAAGTGCTGAGACGTCCCACAAAGTTCGAAGAGAGATTGCGAAGTTTCTATTTTATTGTGCACAGATGTTTCGAATTAGGATAACAATCTGTTTTATTATTCTGAGGGCATCATTGAAACGTAAAAAAAAATATTTTCACCGTGAGAATTGCTATATTTTTCGAAATTATTTTAATTAACTAATTATGTTTAAAGTTATTTAGATACTACAGTATGTATAATATTTGAATGGTACAGGTTAGAAAGAGATTGATAATTTAAAATGAATGTATAAATGTTTTATTTCAGTTAATTTTTTTGACAATTTTATTATTCGATATTAAAACTGATTAACATATAGCTAATTACAAAAATAAAGATCTAATGTGTCCAACACCTGACTTTCTTGTCTAGTTATTACAGTTTTTTCGGGTTATTTTGTACAACCTATTGTATACTTTGTGTAAATGTTTAGAGGATGAACTGAATACATAGATTTTTCACACATACCTGTTAATCGAAACATTTTTTAAACACGAGTTCCACCTCCCATCATTACATATTGGGATATCAACATGATTTTTTGTTTGAAAGTTTAAAAGAAATCATGTGATGTTCTTACTTGCCGTTTTTCCGAAAATAAAACACAATTTATTCTAATAAAAACATCATTTTAATAATGTTTATTTACTGGCGCTTCTAACCAGTACACCACTGAAAATTGATTAGAACATTAATTATTCCTGATTTAGAAAAATAGTTAATGTAATACCACCCTATTTACCTTGAAATTAAGTTTATTGTCCATTTCACAAAAAAAATGCAAAATCTTGATAAACCACACATGAACTACTATATTTATTTATTTCATTAATACATTACAGAAAATAAATTCCAAGTAGTATATAAAAAAAAATGTGAAAAGGTAAAATTGTACAAAACACTTATAAACTATACGTACAATATTTCACTAAAAACATAAGTAATAGTTACATTAAATAAATATGTTAGACACCACCAAACTTAAGTGTTCTTTTTAGAGTAAGGACGTTAATATTAAAAACAGTCGGAACTAGTAAGTGGGGAAACTTAACAGATAGGTACTTAGGATAAATCAGAGCAGTGATTGATTTTTTGAATTAATAGGAATTATAAAAGAACATTGGACACAATTTTAATTATTTGTAAATTATAAATTCTGACAAAATTTATTTTCGATCTAAAATTTATATGCAAGGTGGCCCAACGAAAACTTGACATTAGAGTTTTGGGTATTAATATCGTAGATCTTAAAAAACGTTCGGACACGTCGATTTTAGTTTGAAGGAAGACATCTTTTTATTATATCATTAACTGTCATACGTCATTATCCTCTACTCCGTTACTCTATTTCAGTGGTTTTCAAACTTTTTTGGTGACGGAACCTTTTTGAAAAGTGAAATATTTGACGGAGCCCTAAACACATTTCGGAAAAAAGTCCTCCTTGCTCTAGCCTCTTGCCAGCTCCCTCCCTTTTCTTTGGGGAGCCTCTACAACAAAATTTTCAAAATCATATACGCCTTCCTCTTCTTGACTTCTAAAAAAAAAAAAACAACCGAAAATACCAAAACCATATACTCCTTCCTCTTCTTGACCTCTAAAAAGGTCCCCCAGCCGAAAATACCAAATCATATATTCTTCCTCTTCCTAACTTCTAAAAAAAAAGGTCCTCTAACCCGAAATACCAAAACTCATTTACATTTACAAAAAAAAAAAAAAAAAAAAAAAAAAAAAAAAAAAAAAAACAATAGACCCTCAAGCTAAGTCCCGTTGTAGCGATAGGTACTGTTTATTTTCTTCGCGGAGCCCCCACAAAGGCTTTGCGGAGCCCAAGGGCTCCGCGGACCACACTTTGAGTAACGCTGCTCTAATTAATGCAATTTATATGGGGAAAGTGCCAAGTATGACATATCATTGAAAACGTAATTTTAAGGAGAATTTAGTAATATATAATAACTATTTATTGCTTTACTTTTGATTTTAGCACCTTCCACCGGGATAAAAACTGTTACCTACTGTAAATTTTATTAGGAATTTAGTGCGTAGCGTAATTTTTTTATTTTGGTTGATTGCAATAAAGTTTGTATTTCTTAACTTGTGAACTCTGCAATTATTTAAGTTCTTGTTTTATTCAATTATGTTTTGTTATATTGTGCATTAAATTATTATTAAAATTAGTTTTCAAATACTTCTAGAGGGCGCTAAAATCAAAAGTTACACATTGAATAGTCATATTACTGAATTCTCCTTAAATTTTCAATGATGTGTCATACTTTTGGTACTTTCCTTATTAAAATTGCATTGGTTAGAGTAGCGGAGTAGAAGGCAATGACGTATGACAGTTAAAGATATGAGAAAAAGGTGTCCCCCTTTAAATGCACAAAAAAATTAAAATATCCAGTTTTCAAATTTGGCAGGCGGGTAAAAAACTAAAAAAAAACTTTTTCATTCAAAATTTGTCGATATTTTAAGAAAATTAAACTTATTGTATGTTTTTAAATATGTCAAAAGTTAACAGAAATAAACGTTCGAAAATGTTTTCAATTTTTAAATAAAATTGTAATTTTTTTAGTCATTTGCGTAAACTATTTCAATTTTAGTCGTTTATATAGTGGTTCAAAAAGGGTAAATCCTTGAAATATCTAAATGATTCTTAGTGACAGAAAAAAACAAAATCAAACACGTAGTTTAAAGAAAATATATATACACTTAATTGAAGTTTATTCGTAAAGCGATAATAGAATCATCACTAAAAAGCAAATGACAAATACGAAGATCATTATGTATTTCATCTTCCTTAAGAACCATGTTTCTCGCCTTTCTTAATTTACTGGGAAACTAAAATAGGTTATGTTAGCGTTCAAAGAACCATTTAAATACATTTTAAACAATAATTAAATTAGAGAAATTTCAGTTATTACAATTTATTATCTACAGTCCTGACTCCTGACCTGACGTACCTCTCCTAGTTTCACTCAAAATAAACATGGCTCTTTGTCAGAACAAAATAAAACATTAAAAACTTATCTAAATAAGTTAACAGACTTCTTGCCTCTCAAATAATTTGCGCTAGCATGGTAATAACAGTCCCTTATTATACACCATGGTATTTTTTGTCCAAAATAAACTCATTTAACAACACAGTAAACAATGTATCGTAATTTCACAGATAGCAGAAAAATGGCGATACACACGTTCATCGGCAGCAACTTGTTGGGGAAAAGGGCAGTGTGCGCATTTGACCATGTTACATCTTCGGTTTCTTTAATCTAAGATTAGAAATATCACAATCAGAAAAAAATTTATTATAATTTTGGCAAAGTCGATCAATAAAAGCGTTCTGTCCATAGTTGGTTCGATGTCTTCTTACTTGAAATAGGGAGGTGTGTCGCGTCCGCCTGGTAGGCACCAGAAAGATGATTTGCTTTAACATGGAATCGCAACACAGCTTAAAAAGGAATAGCAGAAGAGATTGTTTCCTTCTATCTTCTAGGTCAGCTATACTCAATCTTTTTTCCTTCGGGCCACATACAAAATTGCTATGTTACACGGGTCGCACAATTTTTAGATCATCTAATTAAAAGTAGTTAGTGGAGACCTGGTTTTACATTTACTTCCCGTGTAATAAATAAAACCCAAAACCTAATTATATCCATACGTTTATTTAAAAATTAGCATTGCTCAAGATTTTAAAAACTTGGAAAGTTTTAAAATGAAACTGCCTAATATTAGTATTTTGGGCCACACATAAAAGCTTTGAAGGCTTTTCTAGGCTGTGTAGACCGCAAAGCATTATTCTCGTTTCATAGCAGATATTATTTTGATATGGAAATTGAAGTTTGAATGGAAGATATTTAACGAACTTGCGCTGTACCCTTTCTATCATATTTATGTGACACGTGTAATTGCGTAGTCAGATTACAGAACAGTATTCTAGAATGCCTCTGACTAAACATAGTGTCATTTATGTGATGTAAGTGACTTTTATTAAAACCAAGCATTCTAAAAGCTTTGCACTTGTGTCAAAGATGATGCCGAGATCATTTACAGAAGAGGAATTTTTAATGTCACATTATCGACCTTGTAATAGTTGAGAATAGGGTTAGGAGATCTTGTGAAGTGGATTGTAGCACATTTATTGATATTTAGGGGGAAATGGTTTAGTTTGTACCACATGGTGAAGTGATCGAGATCCAATTGTAAGGCTAAGTTGTCACTAGTCTTTATGCTAAAAAACTTAAGGTCGTATGCAAATAATGGGCAGTCATTGTTTTGAAAACAATCTGTTGCGTCGTTCAGAAATAATAAAAATAGGACAGGTCCAATATGAGATCCTTGTGGAACACCTGATGTCACGGACACTTCACTAGAGACCGAGTTTTGCACAGTAACACGCTGAGAGCGATGACTGAGGTAAGAGTTGAATCAATTAAAGTAGTTACCCGAAATACCAATGTCGGCTAGTTTTTTAAGAAGCAGTTCATGGCAAACACTATCAAACGCTTTAGACAAATCTGTATAGATAGCATCAACCTGATGACCAGCTTCGAGAGATGAAAGTAAGTATTCTTGATACATGCTAAAATTTGTTGCAATTGAGCGTCCTTGATAGAACCCATGTTGACATGGAGAAATGTAATTTTTATATATGGCAAATAACTCGCTAGTCAGAATGGATTCGAATAATTTAGGTATTGTAGAGATTATACTGTGTCTTCAACAATACCGAAAACCCACGTGATCAAATCGTCATGACAGCGATTGGCGAAAATAAAAGTAAAAATCCCTAGATGCGAGCCAGTGCCGTAGGTATTTTATTACAAAATAGATCTTCTTCTTTTTTTATGGTCTTCAACTACGAGAACAAAATTCAGTTAGGTAACTGTTAGAATTAGAACACAAAATCATAATATTAATTAGAGGTGCTTTACATTATTGTATTTTAATGTTAGAATTCGATATTTTTTTATATTTAGTCAAATGCAATAGTCTAATTTATAATATGACATAATTAACATAACCTTAAAAACTGAGCTATTTATATCGTTCTGATTTATATCTATTTTGTATTTAACGAAAAGAATAATAAACTGAAATATGGTTCGTACTAGTTATTGCCACTATTACAAAAAAAAAAAAAACATTTACCAGAATAGGGCACAAGAAAGTTATGGACAAAAAGTGTTATGCATTAAAATATGAATAAAATTAAAAATTATTTACTTTAGATTGACTCCTAAGATATTTAGCTACAGCTGAAACATTAAATACGATAGGCAGAAGACAATGGCAGTATTTGGCAATTATTGCAGTTTAAGTAAACAAATCTAAAATTTACTGTAATTGTACCTGAGCAATGGGAAGTAATAAACAAATAATTTTTTAAGATTGTTCTATTATTTATATAAATACATTGTTATTTATATGTATACACAAAAATATTAATATTATTAATGTAACAAGCACAAATTTGTTTTACCTTACAGCTCTCACTTTAAATTATAAAGGCATACCTATTAACAATCATTTTATTTGAAAGAATATTGAGTAGTAATCGGTGGTGCATAAACGATACTAATTCACAGTACCTATCTGTTCAAAATCTTTACCACCAGCTTTAATGCAAGCATTAATCATTCTTTTTTGAACACATGCAGTTTCTCTTCAGTTATATTTTGTATTTCATTTAATAACCCCCATTTTATGTACTCCAGTTTATAAACGTCACACAAACGATCTGTAATATTCCATAGGTAGGTTTAACAAAATTAAGGTAAAATGATTATTGCAGTACCGAAACTTTATAGGGGATGTATTATCATAAATGTTTTCAATACTTTATGGCTAGTTCATTGCGACAAACCTAAAAAAATATGTTTTGAATTTCCCTCGCTACAGTCAGTCTTTGAAACACCGTTCATACCTGTTTGAGGTGCTGTTTTTTTGACTAATTTATTGGGAATTTGCACCATGTTAATTTGCACATCTTTTGCTATTATACTGTGGGCCTTATAGAGCTTTTTCCTTTTTTTATAATTTTGAACAAGTATTTGTTTATGACGACAAAAAAGAATCACATTCCATTTATTCACCTGGAAAACGTTCCTCAAATTTTCGAATACAATTAGGAATATAAAATAATTTTGTTCATGTGTAATATATTACCTGAAATAAATTATATAGTCATTAACTTTTACGATTTACAGTAAATAAATTTGTACTTACCAACAAAAAAGAATTAAGCCACCAATAATCTCTAAAAATAACTATTTGCTTTATTAATATTAAAATAAAAAATGGAATAAAGGTGTTTATAAAATGTAAACAAATATAATATAAATATTGTCAGTCCCCAAATGAACGCCAGTGACATTTCTGACAGGACTGACAGTTCTGGAGTGCGTTTAGAAACCTCGCACGGCGCGTCTGCCAACATACATTAGAATAGGGTCCAGACGCGCCGTGCGAGGTTTCTAAACGCACTCCAGTTTAGTTCCTTTTACGTCAAATTAGGCCCTTTCGATGGGTTTTTGATGGTTATCAGATCACGTGGGTTTCGGGTATTGTTGAAGACCTGGTACAAATGCCTCGATAATTTTTATGTCAGTTTTGTCTCCACCAAGTTAGAGAATTTCCAATCAGTAGGAAATGTTCCACTATCGAAAGATTTTTTAAATATTAGACTTAAAGACAAAGAGAATGAGTCGCAGCAGCCCTTTAATACGGATGGTGGTATACCTTCAGGACCTGCATTTTTGGCTGCATCTTGACGTTTAAATTTGGATGACACTTTTTCTACTGTAAATGTATGAAGAGATAGTCGATGAAAATGACACTGATGGAACTGAAGTAAAATTGGTATTGACTTTTTTTGTGTAATACGTTTGAAAATGATTTACGAAAGCATTGGCTATATCTGAGAAGTTACTTAGTTCAAGAATATTGTATTTTATCAGGTTAGGTAGGTCAGTCTCTTTGAAAGTTTTTAATGAATTACCAAAATTACTTTACATTCTCAGGGATCAGTTGTTCAGAGTTTGTTATGAATGTTAAATAACACAGATCTGTTCTGTATTTGACTTTACGTCGTTTATCGGAGTAAGTAATCTGCGTGTTTTTCTTCGATATGAGTTTTCTAAGTGTGTCATCGAACCAAACAGGATATTTGCTGTTTCTAATACGTTTTCTGGTTTTCTTGGCAATACCCTTTACAATAATATTGTGAATACGTTGTTCACTAACATTAACGTCTTCACAGCTTGATATGAAAAACCAGTCGGTTTCTGTGAAAACTGTATTTAGCTCCACGAAGTTTACCTTATGAAACTGATATGCAAAGACAGTTTTGTTGTCATGAACGCATTTTTTTTACACGAGAGAGAAGTAGATAAAGGGGGATGTAACAGATTATTTTTTGACATAGGAAAGTCATATTTGGAGACTGAATCAAGGTTATCAATAAATACTAGATCCAGGATCCTTTGGTGATAATTTACGACATAGTTAATTGGATTACGTTCAAGGAGGCACATTGTGTCTATAATAGCTGCAGCAGACGCAGGTTGCATATAAGTAGGTACAACGATGCCGCATTCGAGACTCCATTTAACAAGTGAAAGATTGAAATTTCACGATTCATGATTCACATACTCTACTAAAAGAAAGCTAGCAATCCAACGACGAGCTAGGAGGAATATATACGCACCCCAGAATGAAATTAGATTAGTTCATTTTCGTTTTATTCCAAATATCTTCGAAATACTCCGAGGCAGGAGTATCAATTATTGTAGATTGAATATAGCTATTAAGGCCCCGCCACCTCGTTCACAGTTTAGAATATCATAGTTCCTGTATTTACGAAAGACAATGTATTTGGAATCAAAGAATTCATAATCGTGGAAATTTTTGTTTAGCCATATTTCAGTAAACATTATTACATCGAAATTACAGGAAGAGGAATTTGTCAGTATTTAAAGTGATTTTGTACGGAGCCCACGCACATTCTGATAGTACAAGATTCTTATGCGATGTTATTGCGGATTTTTCAACGAAATTGCCAAATTTGAGATACCTTTAAGATTTAAACTTTGTTTTGCTGAAATATTTAAAGGGGACGGGGACATATCAGAGAATTAATAACGATGTTGTATAATCGGTAAGTTAGTTTCTATTAAAGGACAACTAACAACAAGAGTATGTTTTTTTTTTTTAAGATTCTTTAGAGTAAAAATAATTATTTTTATGAATTCTCGCTTTTGGTAACTGGATATTAGACCATCATATGAAATTTTTTTTCGATGGAATGAAATAACAGAATTCAAAGTTACGTAGGATAGACTGAATTTTAAGGTCAAATTCTTAGATAAATCTATTAAGAATATTGCGATTACATCTTTGATTCTATTGCAATATGAGATTGGTGTATTTCTATACGATGTTGTAGGGGTGGCTAAGGATAGAATAGTTTCGAGATATATTGCGACACGTCATGCGTCCCCTCCAATTATTTTTTTTTTATTGTTTCCCACTCCGAGTGGAGTTGTCGCAATACTTCCCGAAGCTACTCTAATTGAGAGTTTTAGGAGGAGGGAGGAGAATGTACATGTCGACCAGAGTCTGAATCAGTCGACTTTTAATCTACACATTCGACTGTCGTAGCTACGTGGTTCGGTAGTCCAATTATTGGTAGATGCATCGAGGCCTATACTCGGTGGTTCCAGGTTCGATACCTAGCCGATACACTAATTTTTTCTTCTCTTTCATTCTCTCATCAACTAGAAAAGAGCTGATGATCTTCAAACGGCTGAACAGATTTTATTGAGTCATAACTAAGAACACTCTCGATCAAGTCACCTTTCAAACAAAAAACTATCAAAATCGGTTCATCCGTAAAAATAAACAACTTTTTGTATCATTACAACCTATTTTTAGACCACTAAATTTTGTGCCGAAACTATTGGGACATACGTTTTTGTTGAAGATTTTTTTTATAACAGTGTAAGATTTCTCTTTTTTTTTTTTCATATTTTTGTTGGCCATTTTTCCTTTTTCACAAACTTGTGTTGCTGGGGATACTTTATGAATTACTAAATAGTCAATTTTTAACACAATACACGTTCAGTACTTCCTAATAATAAAAATCTGATCGAAATATACCTTTAATTATATTTTTGTATTCTAGAACGGCTCGCTGACACCCGAGAAGAAAAATCGTTCTAGGCCCCCGAGTTATACAGGTGGGGACTCTCCTATTATCTTACGTTCACGATCATCTACTTGCGATAGCTTACAGTTAGCAACTAGTAGTTTTGTCAGACAAATGCCTCATCCCTCATCCACACAAACGAAAAAACCAGGTAAAACGAGATGGCATGCATCCCTAAATTCCTGTATTGGCGAATTATAAAACTTTGTTTCAATCAACAAATTAAATATATATAACTTTATTAATATTCAGAGTTTGAAATTGATGATGGCTGATTAAAATTGCATCTATATTTCGATTCTTCAATATTAATAGTCATACTAATCAGGACGATTAATTATCGAGATTTATTAAATGAATCGTTACATTTTTCCATCGATTGCTTGTAAAAGATATTTAACAGCTAAAGCAAGTGCGAATGACAGATCTTGATTTAGTTATTTAATTTTATGTATATTTGCTCATACCACAATCGTTTATTAGCTAAAAAATCATTAATTTACTTATTATTTTCTTTTCATTAATAAAAACGGATAAATATTCTGTCGACAGAAAAAATATATTTACACATTTGTGTGGATTATTTTTAAGAAGAGGCTTTTTGCAAGAGTATGAAGGTAGGGAAGGGGCATTTTGTTGAACTTTTTGGTGGTGGCTTCTTTGGGACATTAGAAAATGCAAGTTTTTATTCGCTTTTTGTTATGTAGTTCTTTTCATTCATATCAATTTTAAAAAATAGCTTAAAACTTTTTTTGTGAAAAGTCTCTATAAAAATATGATGAAAGTGCAATACCGAGTTAGCTTGAATAATTATTTATAAATTTAGGATCTACATGATAACTTTAAAAACTAAAATAATCTTCCAACCAGATTCAAATAAAAATTGCCATAGCCAAGCAAACGTCGGATTCATTGTGACTCCAATCTTTTAATGCAGGACATTTTTGAGCTAGGTGAACATTTGTAAAGGTTAGATGAATTCGAGTGTCTGAAACCTAATTCTTTACATAGCGAAGAAGATACATAATATGCAGGGTGTCTCATCAAGAATGGGACACAGAACAACTGAATATTCTCTGATCAAAAATAAGGCGATTAAACACAACATGCTCAGATAAAATTACTCGTTTTCGAAATACAGGGTGTTAAAGTTGAAAATTCAAAAAGTATTAATGGCTATAATGTTTTTATTTCTTAGTATAATTTTACTAAATTCGGCAAACATTTTTGGTGTCATAAGATACACCTATCAGCAAAAATATCAGTTAAATAAACTTTGCCGTACGCCATGGATAAGTGACACCTTCATCCCCTCTAAATTTTACGCCACTGTACAAAAACTTATGGTTTATTTACTAAAACATCAAAAAAATTTCAAAATTATCGCTCAAATAAGTTTTTATACAGTGGCATAAAACTTTTGCGAATTTGGTAAAATTATACTGAGTAATTAAAAAATTATGAATTTTCAAACTTTATCTCGCAAACTAGTAACATTTTACTGAGGCATGTTTCGTTTATTTCTCTTATTTTTAATCAAAGAATTTCCCTATCTCCCATTCGTAATGAGATATCCTGTACGCTTTGCTGATTCGCCATCTACGCTTTAGAATCGCCAGTCTATCGTTCACATATGGTATCTTCAGGTTACTATTATAAATCCCATAAGAATGTGTAGACCATTTCTACTCCATTCCATGATTGAGCATTTCAGGATTGGATAGAGACTTTTTTTGCAGAAAAGAAACGTTAAACAATTTTCTTGCTTCTTAAAAAGTTGTACCATACGCGCCCAGGTTTATTAATATATCAATTTTGGACATTCCACTAAATATTCCAGCTCCTACCCTATGTGATGGGTCCTTTGTTTCACCAAGCGACCCAGCCACACGTAGATTTTTTGTTTTAAGACTGCTTGAAAAATCCACTAAATTAAGTTATATAAGGGTATTATTCCTAATGTATGTAAATTTCCATTAAATACAACTCATACCTATTTGCTCTTTTATCCTTATATTTTGTTCTTACACATATTCTTTGTAACCCATTAATTAACTATTACTTATTTCATTATCTTATTAATACTATTTTTTTTTATATTTATTATGGTATTGCGCTTTTACATAGTTTTTTGTATCATTATTCTTTGAACTGTTTTTAAACGTATTTTTTTTAACAGTTATGATTCAGAACAGCTTGAAAAAGCGGACGGCACCTTTACCACCTCCTAATAGTTCTTTAAATTATGGTACTCTTCCCAGTAGTCATAGTAGAACACCATCTGATCCTATAGCTGCAGGATATCATACTCTAAGTCACACCCACAAAAGGTCACCCAGCAGTGATAGCAGTTCTGGCAGATCTGTGATACCGATAGGTAAATACATCCAATTTAAATTATTCATAGTGCAAACCATTTTATATATTTGTTTAATAATTTAAATTATAATTATCTATCAAATAATTCATGTCATGTTTACTCGCATACAAAAAAAAGTATATTAACGGAAAATCCACTTTATATAAAGGAGTTCAAGGCTGCGATACATTGTACATAGATAGCGAGAACTGTACCGCTAGCTCGATTTATAATTTTATTTTTATGTGTACTTGTTTTTATATCCAGGTTGCCCCACCTTTAGGTACACAGATACCAATAAATATTTTAGAAGAATAATATATTTAGGGATATTTAGTTTCAATTTAATAATTGCACTGTAACATGAAAAGTTAATCTATCAAAACTTAACCTAGTTTGTAAGTAGGTTAAATGTGACAAAAACAAAAAAAAACATCAAAGTTTACTGTAGAATAATGTTTCAATATTTATTCACATTACTGGTATATTGTATTCATTTGTAAACTATATTTGATAGTCATAATAATTTTAATCCAAAAGAACAGGGTCAATTGAACTTTTCCACATCGTAATTTTTGGATTGGAGTGAAAGGTATTTTATGATTGTGTAGAAATTTTATTACTTTATGGTTTTTCCTATTTCGAAGGGTTTTGTTTACATTATACCTAAAAATTGGCAAACATTCTAAATCGATTACTTTATAATTTGAATGTTTCCTCGATTCATTTCCATAATAAAATACTTTGATTTTTCTTATGCCTACCTATTAATTTATAGGTGTATCTCTAAAATGCATCATAATATTTGTTATGCTCATGCTTTCGTTTATTAGACAGAATTTGTGCAAATTAAAAATCGATTGTATCGATTATAATGAGAATTTCGAAACTATGCAACCGACAAGCCAAAAAAACTCAAATGTCGAAGGGTTGAATTCTAAACACCTAAACAAAACGTAAAGTAAAACGTAAACAGTTCATTTTTCGTGTTTGAGTGGGTTTTGATATTTTTTTGTGCTTTTTAATTAACTGTGGTTATTTATCACTTTTATAAGACTCTTCTATTAGTTATAAGGATATATTTAGTGATAGTGGTAGTACGTTTTAGAAAGCTCCTCAATGAATAAAAGATCTATTTTTTAATATACTACTTTTTATAGAGATGAGCTAAATTGCGATTTTACAATCGCACTTAAAACTGTGATTGCGATTCTTCCATCACTGCGATTGCAACCTGCGATTGCGATTCTACATTTCGAAATCCGTAAACGACCATACATGTTATATTTATATTTACATAGAACATACAGGACAATTAGTAATGATGAATCATAGGATTTGGATGTTACAATCAGTGGATATTATAAATTCTATAATAAATCCGTATGTTGTGCTGATTCTATAAGACCGCTTTCGACTTAAATATTGCATTTTGCAAAAGTATCTAATTCAGAATAAAAATTTTACAAATTACTAATTTTTCTTTGTTTATCAAAATTTACCCGTCTTTTTAAATGTTTTAAATATAATAAAGAATGAATGCAACGAACGGCGATCGCATATCGCATGAATTTTCGTTTGTAGTCAGTCACAGGTTTGTCGGCAGGATCTATGCATAATCGCGGAAATCGAAAATGGTCGGGGGTCGCTGTCGGGTCCGTCGGCGTTCGGCATCGACATAGCGCAGCTCATCGCTGGCAATCATTGGTTTCGATTCCGAAGGCAACCGAGCAACCATCTTTAGCTCATCGTTGGCAATCATTGGTTTCGATTCCGAAGGCAACCGAGCAACCATCTTTAAAAAACGCAGTCACAGTTTTCTCTACAAAGTAATCACAGGTTGCGATTGTAAAATCGCTGCGATTAAATCGCAGTTCGCGATTTTAAGCTCATTCTAAGTTTTTAATCGTTTTTTACCTAATTTTATATTTCCTTTCCACTCATGTCCCCTCAATAATTATTTTACTTTAATAAACAAAAATATTTATAGGTATTTTTGCAAGTTTTTCATTAATTTTTATTTAAATTGATCATGAACCAATACATTTAATATTAATAAAACTGATTATAATAACTACTTTTCAGTATATATTTAATAACAATTAAAATCAAACACAAACTCAAAATTAATCTTACAGAAAAATATCCATTAGTCTTCATGGCACGTCTATGACATACAGTGAGTGCCATAAACTTGGGTCCATATGTGGGAATTTATTTTAATATGACTGGAAAAAAAACATCATATGACATTCACCTCTACTAATTTAAAAACTTAAAATAACCCATATCAAAGTTGGCTACTTGCATTAATTATCTATCAACGTCGCAATATCTTTGAAAAATAGCTCAAAAATTCCTTTTTTTTTTAATGAGAGTCACAGATGACTAATGCCAGTAGTCAAATTTGATATGGGCTATTTTAAGTTTTGAAATAACCAAAAGGTGATTAACCTACGACGTTTTTTTTTTTAATCGTAATATTAAAAAATCTATATGAATCCAACTTTATGGCACACACTGTATAATGCAGGTTTGTGAACGTGCAAAACTATATTTTTGTTATTTTTTTTTGTTTTTGTCAATCTTTAGGCGAATCGTTTGCGCAGAAAAGTTTTCAACTAAAAAACAAAAAAGCCTTAAAACTATAAATATCTTTAAAACCATTCTAAAAATGTACAGAACGGCAACGTCGTATTATCATATGTAAGTTTCTATGTCGGTTCGTATTGTACGTTGAAATAATTTGACATGCCGTTTGTATTTCTAATTGGTCAACAATTATTTTGACATATGACGTTTGGTCAACCATTAGTTGTCGCCCAAGATCCAATGGATATGTAACGTAGCCTTGCATATCGCATTGGTGGTGAACACGGTGTACTAAAATGACATGATAATTAACGCGTCAATTTTAAAAAATTGTGTCAAAATTTGCAAATTGAATTCATGCTTTTTGTAATAATTATCAAACATACAGCCTTCATATTGTGGGAAAGTTAATTAAAAATGATAGAGAATTCATTGAAAATAATTTGCTTATTAATCCTTGCAATAAAATTTTTAGTTTTTAATGATAATGTCAAATTATGATTAGTTATTATGGAATATGTTCAATTCATTCTTACAACATTGCTGTTGACAATTATATCGCAATTTCCTTGTAATTTTTAAGCTATTGCATAGCTTTTATCGCGGGCTTTGAGCGCGGCGACCGAATCAAGAAATTCCGTAACGAAAATAAACGTAACACCGTCGAAAAATCGAAAAACCGAAAAATCAAAAACTCGAAAAATCGAAAAAATGGAAAAATCGAAAATTCGAAAAACCGAAAAATCGAAAAGTCTAAAAATCGAAAAAAATGGAAAAATCAAAAATTCGAAAAATTTAAAAATCGTAAAATCGAAAAAATGGAAAAATCGAAAAAGAAATTTCGTAACTAAAATAAACCTAACACCCCCACTCCGACCGGTACAGCGGTGCGGCGTTGAAATCCGTGCATCGTCTAACGTTGTTTCAATTCGGCAGACTTCGGCACGGTATTTGTGTGCGCGCGACTAGACGTATGCGTGTAGACTAGCTGCTAACTGCTCATAACTGATTCTATCTCTTTTAGACACAATTTCGGAAAAAATGAATTTGAAAATGAATAATAATCCACAGAATCCACAACAAAATATGGGACCACCATTAACTCGGTATTTTCCAGATATTTAGAGGATATCAAGTCTCAAACTTATGTTTCTTATTTCAGTTACCATAAACATATAGTTTCAATGATCAAAATTCCTGAATAACCTATATGTATTGTAAGATAATACAAATATTTTAAACAATATTAACTTCTCATTTATTCAATAAAAGAAAAAAATTTGTTTTCTTATCGGTCACCACGCTCAAAAAGTGTAACTTGAATTAACATCAAAGAAAAAAAATTCTGCATAAATAAAATAAATAAACAATTATAATTGCATAAGTTGATAAAAAATGTTATGCAATAGCTTTACCGCGGCAGTCCCCGAGTGCCACGCGTATTTTTTTTTTATTATTATAAAAAGCATGATTTACTAACACGTTGTTAAATGACAGAAACGGCCGCCATTTTTAGTCCATTTCCCAGCCTTAAGTAGTTTACATAGAGAAAACAAAGAAAATATAGGCAATGATAAAAAAAATAGTACACAAACAACCCTTTCTTTTAATTTTGTATTCTTTTAAACATTCTAAATGAATTGAAAAATACATCATTTGGACTGGACAGGACAGGCTATTCAGTTCGAGAGATAAGTGTGTCAGTGGATTAAGACTACCATAATTTGTTAAACATTTTCATTATAGCAGAGTTCTGTTCCTAGTTCTTGATCCAATATTAAAGTTAAACTAAGCAATACACTGACTGATTGAATAGAATTTGTTACACAAAAGAACTATCATTTTAATTAGATGTAACAATTATATTAGGTTTGTTCCCACGGCAAATCAGTGATACGTTTATAATAGTTAGCGAAACACAAGGGGGCGCGCATATGTTTCCAACATGTTTATGATTTATCAGAATGTATGTTGGAACATCATTGCATATTTTGATATTAATTATAAGTTTATATCAGGGCTAATTATTAGCAGAAAATAATATGAATCCAAGAAAATCACTCAAATGCAACTTAAAACATTTAACATTAACATTTTTTAATACTAGCCATGCAATGTACTCATAACTCGTTAGAATATTTGGAGTAGAATCCGATTACAGTAAGAAGAACACAACTACGTCATAGCTATTATTTAGAATTTCAAATATATATAATTAATAACTATCAATAAATAAAGAATATGTGAGTTGTTTGGTTTAAAAATATTTGTTTAATATTAATGCGCCACTAAACTCCAGTAGGCGGCGATAACCAACGAATTACTCCGCCAATTGATGACGTAGCTGTGTTCTTATTGTAATCGGACCCTACTAATAACAATTAACACATAAATTTTTTTTTTTTTGTTAAAATTTCATGATTTTTTTTTAGGAAACAAGCTAGTCATGACAGATAAAAATTCTGATAAATTTGGTTCAGTAAGAAGGCCTCAAAATCCTCCCCCACCTGCTCCTAACTCTTCATCAAGTAGGTTGTCCAATGGACGTTCTACAGAGAGCATATCTTCTATGGTTTCAGATGTAGATGTATCAGGAATGATGCACAACCCGGTACCCCCTCCTAGAAGAGTAAGTATAAAAACAATATTTATATTCCAATGAAATTCTCATGCATAGTTTCTCCATAGATTTACCAATTGACTTCATATCAATTTTGAAATTGTTCTCTTCAAGTATCAAGTACCAAGTACTCTCGGTCGTAAAATTGACATCACTATTTATAATTTTTTTTTCGGTTGTATCTTGGTAATAAAGGTTTGTGTGATAGGATGGCTGTTTTCAGTGGGTTTTATTTTCTGTTTATTACATTCCTTTATTATTTTTGGTTTAACATTTGTATTTTTTACATCATATTATCGGATGTCGTATGTATCTTTTATTAACAAATCTTTAATGCAGGTATGAAGTCAAACCATTATCTGTGGATAAACTATAATCTATTTTGTGATATTTCTTTGTTTGACTAATTTTCGGTGTTTTTTTTTCAAATATTTTTGTGATCAAATTGTGTATGGTTTACAGAAAAGAAAGTCTCAGTTGGAAAGTTTCACTGAGGATACTGACGTTTCGAGCCTGGTAAAAATGCTTTTTGTGTCCATGAGTGTTGAAACTTTTATGCTTCATGTGTGTCATCATTTTTTGTTTACTTAACGAAATAGATTATCCAAATAGCAATATCATTTCGCTTTGTTAAAACAAGTTTTAGAGGGAATATGTTATATTAAATTTATGCTGACAACCATTTTGACTTAGTAGATCCATAGCTTGAATGTTTTTTTTTTTTTTATTTCAACAGCTTTTGCTGATTTACTAATAATTTTTCAGTACTACTGTTTAACAATATTTTCAATTTATTTATCTTGTTATTTAAATCATTTTTAAATGATTAAAATGACTAAAATACAAAAATTCTACATTTCTACATACAGGATTTATTTGTATTATAAGTTAACCTTTCTATATCCCATCACCATCGACTCCATGGATGAGCTATGAACAGAAAAGATATAAAGCGCCAGTGAACAGATAATTGATCGTTTTAAGTATTTTTTTGTTTTTTTTATATCGATGGCGCTCTATCGATATAAAATATTTAGGATAGCCAGTCACTTCCAGTTATACCGGAAGTTACCTCAAACATCTATATTCTACATGGAACACCCTGTATATTTTTACATTATTATAATCCCTCGACGGGCTGATTTTAATGATGTGTCATTGATGTATATTATGTATACAGGTTGTCCCAGACTAATTATTCCAGGATATATCTTATAAATAAATAGAGATATTCTAGTGGGAAATAGTAGTTTGTGCAACAAGCAACACGAGTGGATATGTTGTTTCTTACGATTGAGCACTCCGCCTACGGCGTCGTGCTCAAATTTTGTCTTCGTGACATACGGACAATCCACTCGAGTTGTACAGTATACCTTGTCTGCGACCCACTAACAAAAATACAAATTTTCAAAGTTATTTTACGTTAAGATATAATAATTATTTATGACTTTTACTAATTTTTAAAATATTATAAAAGAATTAATTTAATTAGTCTCAATCCTACAATTGAACCCGGGACCTCTAGCATGGCAGCCAAATTCTCTAATCTCGGCTCCATCGCCATACATAACATTTTAGTTTTATTACTCGTAATTAAATTGATTTCATATAGTTTTATTAAAATTTATTTGTAAATATAGACGAATGCTATTATTTATCGATTCTACACAAGAATAATTCACTGTAATGTATATTTAATCTTAATAACTAAAAAATATAGTGACAATTAGTTTGACAGACTTGTCACTTATTTAAAATTTAAAAAAATAATAGTAGCCAGTTGACCAAAATATGAACTGTGATTGGAGGATTACATATTCGGGCTGTGTTCTTACTAGGTAGAATGGATATGAAATATATTCGTTCAGTTGAATGCAATGGTGTACTTTTTCGTTTTGTAGACCGTGCGTAGAATAGCTAATATCCATGTGGGTATAGAAAAAAACTAATCCATACAATTTTTAAGACATGTTAATTTTAATATCATCCCCTAAATATTTACCGCTTGGTGACAACCCCCATCTTTAAAATGTTAAATAGCATCCTGTATATATCTTACTTAATCACTGTTTAAAAATTATAATCGGTTCATAAATAAGAAAGAAAATGCTTGTTTACTTTTTACAATTTAAGATATGTTTATGAAATATAGTCTGGATGAATTAGTCTATGACACATAATAGACAGCAAGTGTAATACATCGCTGAAATCAGCTCATTGAAGGGATTATACAAATGTAAAAATACAGGGTAGGGTGTTCCATTTAAAACAAAGAAGTTAGGCGTCACTTCCAGTATAACCGAAAATCCCTCGTAATCAATTTTCATTCGAGCATCTCCAATCGTTTATGAAGTATAGCCTGGATGAATTCATCTAGGATACTCTGCATACTTTCTTTTCGTTTTGGACAACAAAAAGACACTTCACAATGCTGCAAATTTGGATTAACCCATTGAACGGCATTATTAACTAAAGAAATGTGTTTGAATATATACACTTTGTTTACATTATGTTGCTGACAAACTTAATGTAAACAAAGCACAAATTTTATCAGTTCGATTGTTTTAGAATGTTGTTTAAGGGGTTAATTCAATTTTTTTGTCGATTTTTGAGATGTGTCACTTTTCTATCAACGAAATGTGTGCTGGAGAACCCATTGGTTATAGAGTCGGCGAAAATTCAGTAGATCAGATTTATAAAAAAAGTCCGCTGGTTTATGTATAGTTGAATACGTCTATTGCAGGCAGTAAAACATGTTTGGAATGTGTAATAATTCTGTCACCTGTCACGACTAGATTTTCAGAGGTTCCGGTGGACAATTTTGATGTTTTAAATACGTATACGATAAATATTCATTTGCTGCAAGAAAGTCATAACTCAAAAATTGTTATTTTGGAGTTATTAAGACATTAAAGAAACGCCCTATTATCTGGTAAAGTGTCACATTGGAACTTTTTATAATTGCCGTTAGATGCCGTTTAAATCGGAACTAAAGGTTTACTTCTCATCTCAATGCTGTAATTTCAATCAGTGGCGGCTGCTGCATAAGTGCTGTAGAGCTGCAGAAATGCTACAAAAATGCAAGTATCATGTATTTCACAGAAATTATTTTAGACATTCTGAAATATACGTAAAATTAATTTTATGGATTCTCATTAATTTTAATTATTAAATAGTATCCATAGTGCGCGAACGTATCGGGTCAAAACTTTTTATTATACTTTATAGATTTTTTCGGCGGAATTGTAAAACTGGACTTATCAGACAACTAGTTTACACGACTCGTGCTAACGGCGCCAGGAAAGAATGGCATTTCGGTCTGTCCAAAAAGGTACTCTCAGATTTTTGGAAATTATTGCGCTAGTATGTATACGCGATTATTTTGAAAAGGGAGGGAGCCCGACTCGCTTCCTAACTGTTAGCTCGATTTTCACGGCTACTGATAAATGAATAAATTAGGGAATTAAAAAAAAATGACTTCATTACAGGTGTTCTTATGTACGATATATTGTAGCGTTAAGCAACAATTTGTTTGCATAATTTTTATGATGAAAATAATATTTCTTTCAATATATGGCACATGGCAACACTGTTACATTTCTAAAATTGTTTTACTGTCTACAATAAACATCTTGATGCATAATGTCAAATTTAAAATTGATTTTTATGACATAAAACGCTTTGCTGTCAACACAAAGAAACCAAGAAAATTTTGTCAATTAGTCATCGAAAACTCTGTTACTAATCAACTTTTGTGGTGACTCTGCTCCTACAAACGTCACAATTTCTATCTGAGATATAAAAAAATTATTTTTTTAGGCATCTGATTCACCGCCACACCGAATATCATCTAGTCCGATATCAACCAGCTCCTTATGCTCGCCTCGGTCAGTGCCTGGCGGTCGATTGTCATACGCATCAAACGGCAACGCTGTATTACGCAGATGCAAAGCACTGTACGACTGCGCAGCTGATAATGACGACGAACTGTCATTCCAAGAGGGCGAGATCATCATCGTCATCAATGAGCACACCGACGACGATAACTGGATGGAAGGAATGGTCGAAAATGAGCCGGACAGGATCGGCATGTTCCCGATCAGTTTTGTGCACATGCTGCCTGATTAAATTATATAATCTATATAAAAATATAAAACTATTAAAATATATTTTTGATGTAAAAGATAACGGTCTAGAGGGAGAGTTCTATATTCCGAAATATGGGTCATCGTTTTTAAAATGTATTTTCCCTGAAAATGTTGAAGAGTGCTTAGTTTAGAGAGAATGTTGATTGTTAAAACGTTTTAGAGTTGGGAAAATGGAAGCGATTTATAGCGAAGACACCGAGCGATGTTGCTGAACCAGATATTTAACCGATTACATGGATTTATCGTTGAATTGATGTTTTATCTAGATTTAGACACACTAAGTAACCAAATACAGACAAAATCGTTAATAATAGTAATAATATTCTTAAATTAAGTTACCATAAATAATTAATTAAAAGTATTAATCATTAGATTATAATTTGTTCATATAGGATTTTATACCTACATTCTATTTTATTTAATTGTAACCAGTAATTGCAGATTAGCTCGTAAAAGAAACTGACTAACTCAGTTATACAAAAAAAAATAATTATTGCAAAATGGTTTAATTGATTGGTAATTTTGAATAAAAATATCTAAGCAAAACTACACATACTTATAATTTAATCCATACTACAACGTTTCAATTTGAAATTTTGGATTAGACATAAGACGTAGGTATAAAGTCAAACGATGAACATACTATACAACAAATCCTCCATTTTATTGGTACAACTTTCTCTCCAAATTGTACACAGCATTGCTTGAAATGCACCATTTAATCGCTATTTTTTGTGGTCTTCCAATTTCATTTTTCGCTGCCCTATTGATCTTTTTTTTTTTAGACTGTTTCATGGGTTTAAGGTTTTTGATGTTTTCTACCTAATCTAATTTTCTCAGCATAAGGGCTCTTTTTATTTGTATGACTATGATTTTATTTATTTTATCTTACTACCTCTTTTTGTAGCATTATTCGTAATTTTTTGCTTATTGCTGATTTTTCTTTAGAGATGCTTTCAGCATCTCTTCTGTTAAAGTCATCTATATCATGATATCGGATATTCTTTTAATTCTTTCGTAGATGAGAACATCATTTTAATTGTTTTCTATTGTTATATAATTTTGGGTAGAATGTGTCACTTCCAAGTATTGCTTACTTGCTTTCCTGCTACAGTAATTAAATATAAATGTTTAAACCATATCTAGTAAGTTTGGCTTTTGGAAATGATTTCCCAGAATGTAAATTAAAGTCCGCGCCGCTGTGAAGTTTGATTTTGTTAAATAACTCAAGAACATTCATCCTATGACAAATAGTGAGAAGTCATTTTGTAGAAATAGTTTTCTCATTCAAAATCTTTTTCTAAAATGAAGACGCACGGCTTAATCAGTTCCAAAAATTAAAGGGCCTAAAAAGTTCTCACGTCTGGAGTAATAGGTTGAAAAGTTACTTAAGTTATTAATCCAGGTTTTGTCTGTATTTGGAAACGTCCATAATATAATTAATTTCCGCCCGTAGACACCTGTGATTGCTGTGTACTGGGTTTTCTTTAAAAAATAGTTTGTCACTATTAATATAATAGCTGTTGAATGTTTTTAAAAATATACCAGGTGTCAAAATTGAATATGCGGTTCAGTTTTTTTTTAAATCGATCATGGCCGTGGAAGTTTGACACATTTCACTGTGTATAACATTAATATCTTTTTAAAAGTTATGTGCTCTGACATATTTATGATTTTAGGCCTAGAGAAATTTACAATCTATATACAGGCGGCAAAAATTTTCAAGGGGTTGTACCTTAGACTATTCTAAGAATATTTTGTCCTTTAATGATTTTTGAAAATCCGTTTTGTTAAGGAGATACAGGACGAACAAAATTTTAAACAATAACATCATTTTATTACCAAAGAATACATGTAAATGTTACTTAATCTACAAGAACTACCACATGATCAATCACTAGACGAATTCAAATGAAATTCAGATTTAATCTGTATTTCTCTACGATGTCTGAACTTTTGCCTGTTTTAAGTGGAAAAAATAACCGTTTTTAGTAATTGGAATGTTGTTAAAAAATAATAAAAATAACGAATTTTTAAAAAAGTTGTATGTTCTTGGTTAACACAGTGTAGTACCTATTTTTATTTAGACTATTAATAAGTCTCGAAATTGTTGTGCGACCTGTATCTCCTAATCGAAACGGAATTTTAAAAATCATCAAAGTACAAAATATTCTTAAAATAGTCGAAGAAACAACCCCTTGAATTTTTGCCGTATGTTTAAAAAACACCCTGTATAAACATAAGGCTACAATGGCATTAAACAAAAGGTATCGGCCTTTGTTATCAGTACAATGTCCATGTATGCCACAGTGTGACAATCCTTGGATACCTTTATTCTTAATACTCTGTCATAGAGGACGTTCCACAGGGTTTACCCAGTCATCTCAAAATTAAGTTTTTCTTTCTCAAAGGACCTATTATTGTTTATTATGTATTGACTGATATCAAATTCATTGAGAGCTTTCATAATTTTGCTTCAGACTTGGTATTGAAAGCATTTCTGACACTTCTGAAACCAAAATGATCCGAGATTTCTCTTTTTTTTAATGAGATACTCAAAAAGTTTATCAAGAACGTCTAGAAAGCAAGTAGATTTAAAAGTATCATGTCTTGGGTTGCTTTCTTCCATACCTCCGAGAATTGCTGGTTGCCTTACTGGTTATTAAAAAGACAGTGTATGAGAAGTAGCATAAAACATCATTTTGGTATTTAGTTTAACAATTAGTTTTAATATACAGAGTGTGTGTTGTTTGACTTTCGTTGTCAGTCCCGTTTTAAAAATAAAATGAACAGCATATATATTTTTAGTCTAAACTAATCTAAGTATTTGCAAAAAAAATGTGCTGGTGTGTCTTCTAAAAAAAAGTTCTATAGTACATATAAAAAAATAATTATAGAAGATTGTAATATCGATATATGGAGTAACTGAATGTACCCTAACCTTATGAATTCTGCCTAATTTGTGAAAATAGCATTTTTAAACTATAAAATGCCTAATTAAAAACCTTTATGAAAACTTTACCAAATAATACCAAGAATTAATGTTGTAAAATCTATTTAATTAATTTTATTTGTAAATAACTGTATATTTCCTTTATCGTGTATATTTTGATTACCAATATGCCATAAAATTTTCATATTACAGGGTTCCATATAAAAATTCTGCAATCCACCCTATAAAATAATTTTATGTTTTACCCTGTACTTACATTTTTTTAGCATTAAAATTGGTCTGCCATAATTTATCCTTCTACCTTATTAATACTATATGCTTTGTATATATTTTCGAAAGGCGGTTTCAATTTTGAAAAAAATCAATTTGAACTTTTATTTTTTTAAGATTCAATTTCCAGATGTACAATTTCATGTTGATTATTTTTTAATTTGTTGATAAAGATAGGGGTGTATGGTTTTTAAATTTATCGATTTTAACCTGTGAAGGATGAAGGTTTTTTATTTTGAAAGGACTTCATGAAAAGTAATAAAAAATAGGCGACCCTGGACATAGTAGACACACAGTTAAATCTCCATCCTGGATGTTTTTTCAAAAACACAGAACTATATTTGCATTTGTATTTTCATTTGTTCAAGTGTTTATTTTAATAAAATATGAAACGAAAATATTGTTAAATAATATAAAATTCAGTAATCATTTGTTGTTTCTTCTTTTTTAAACTAAGTATATTTTGCATTTGTTTTCAAGAAATTCAGACAAATTGGTTAATTTAATGTCGCGCACGCGCAATACACTTTCCACTTTTAAAAATTATGTTTGGACTAATCAACTTTTCAGATTAGTCCTTTGGACTTTTCCAAGCGACACATCACTAATTTTTAATGTGAATACTGTATGACAGATGTGATTAAAGAACTATTGAAAAATAAGTTTTAATGCTCTGAAATGTTACAGGTATAGTTAAATAAATTACCGTTTGGGCTAAATCCCTGATTGATTGTCGGAAAGTTTCTTTTTCGAATCGATTTTCAAGGGAAATTATAAGTGAATCAAAATGGGGCAATTTTAATGAAATTTACAAATATCAACCTATTTTGAGCGGTCCCCATTCCCTTAATTGTCACGCTATCAACTTAAATAAAAAAAAAACTATTGTAAAGTGTATTTATTCAGGTATAATGCGGTTTTTTTAAATTTCAATACGGCCATCCATTCGGCCCATAACGCTCGCGAAATGAAAGCAGTGCAAAAGGGAGCATGACCTTCAACGGCGAGACATGCCTCTCTTCAAAACGATCTAGTCTATAGAGTAAATACTAGGATAGTACTCTTTTTTTGTCACAAATATTTTCTAGATGAAGATACAACTTATTAAAATGCCAGTCCTTCATGGGTTAAATACGTCGAGTTGTGAAAATAAATTTAAAAATTGATTATACGCTCCTATTATTCATGATTTTCCGGTATATGTTTGGAGTAGGTTTTTTTGGATTATGACAACAAAATTATTAAGATTGCTCCGAATTTGCATCTGGTTTTAAATCTATAATTTGTCTTCTAAACACAGTGTGATCGCAGTTTATATATTATTGTCCCCCCCTAGTTTACACTCGTTTTTTTAATATTGAAAGCATGTTTGTGTATGTTTTTTGTGAAAAAAAAAATGCTATGATGTTAAATGTTATAGAAAACCAAAGAAATCTATCTTCCTATAGATATTACCTATAAATAAATAGGAAATTTTGCCAGTGTATATAATAAGTTTTATTTTTTTTATTTTATCGCAAATTCCCTTTGTATTTACACCCCTTAGATATTTTTATTTGGTAATAATTATCTAATTTTTTAATAATATTCATACATATTTGTTTTCTTAGAAGTACAACTTAAAAATGTTGCTAAACTACAACTAAATGTATAATTGACATTTGTTTGTAATGATGTAATAACGTCAATTGATGTCATTTCCAGATCTTCAACAAACAATTCTATTACCCTTACATTAGTTTGTGGATTGTTAATTATTAATTATAAATCTTTATTTCATTAGTAACTTTGTTTGCATTTTTGAAACTAATATGTCAAAGCTTAATATTTTGTAGTATCCCATATAGTCCAGTGTGTGAAGGTAGAAATAATTAATAACAATTTTTATTGATTACAAAATATATTTATTGTGAATAAATTAAACAATATATCTTAGACATGAAGAGTCACTATCGCTGTCTTCTAGGGTTGGGTCTTCCACAAATAATGGCGTTATTTTAATAATTTAATTGGTACATATTTTTCTACTAAACCTTTAAAATCTAACCTTTTTTGGATTCGTATCTAACGGTTTAAATATTTAAAATGTTTCGAAACGTTCAAATGACCTGTCACATGGTAAAAATAGTATGTCGTGGTTCCAGATACTGATGACATTGACTTATTTTTGTATTTGTTTATTTGATTAATGTTTCATTTTTCTTGTCTGAAAACAGGAATAGCGTCTTTACTGACAGAGGAAAATAGGCCTGTATATAATGATGTAAGAAGCTTGTAACTTCATTATTCATATCCCACTACACTCGTACCATTCAGTACAAGATTCAGGCAACTCCGAAATTTTCACTGAAAATCCAGATTGTTTTTTATCGATAACTTCCTTAATTTTAAAGATATCAAATTGCTCAAAAACCCATTTTGAAGCGAATTTCAAGGGTTACAAGGCTTCTAACTAAAGTTGAAGTCGCTTGTACGTTTGAGTAAAAAAAAACCACCATGTCTTAATGTGTTGTTTTGCGTATCTCCTTTAGTTTTTGGGGTATTGTGAAAAATAGAAGATTTTTTCAAAATTTACAAAAATATTTTAAAAATCGAATCATCTTGTTTCCAATATAAACGGTTTAGTGCTTAAATAAAGTTCAAGAAGGAGAAGCTGATTTTAAAAGTCTTTTCAAGCACTTTAAAAAGTTTAAGTTAAAAATACAGTTTTTTAAAAACAGTCGCCTTCAACTCGCTTCCTATTCTACATAAATGAAAAAATACAAATCGATTCGTTTTTTAAAAGCTTATTTGCCATTCTTACGATTTTTTTTTAAACGTAAAGTTTTTGAGATATTCGCTCCAAAACTTGCATTTTTAATGAAAAACCACTCTAAAACTTCTATTTTTAATGAAAAATCAACATTTTTAATCGCCAATAACTCGAAAAAACTGAATAGAACATTTGCATTTTTTTTTGTTTAGTTTAATAATGCCCACCCCACCCCCACTGTGAAAACGCACATCGGCCCTATATAACTGTTCTTCCTTGAGTCATTCCTTACTTAGTGTTCAAATTTCACATCAGTCCGTTTAGTCCGAAAGAATTCGTATCCAAAAACTGTCAAACACTGGACTATTATCATGTTAAGTCTAATTATATATAATTGTGACGTTTAAATTAAATAGTTTTTTAAATGGAATTAGGTATGCCATATTAACAAATGAATAGTCAGTTCTACATGAAAATGTTTTAATAATCAGTTTCAACATTGTAATTATTAATATTTTTTTTTTATTTACAATACGCTGCCGTAGTGATGACGTAATTTTTGTTGAGTGCGTTTTGTTTTTGACTAAAATTCATAATTACGTCTATGTGATCTTAAAACAAATAAATTAAGTGGATAACATCAATCAATTCTGATTTTAATGATAGAATGCTCTGATTTTGGTTGGTACACAAACTACGTCTTACTAATGCAGCGTATGAAACTTATACGTAAAGTAAAGCCACCTCCAAACCAAGAATTTAAATAAATGACATTTAATTTAAGTAGTCAAACTAAGTCGATAAATAATTATTTATATTAAATATACCAAATTACTAAAAAAAACGGTAATAAAATTTAACTATAATAGTATAATTTAAAACTACATAGACAAAGCTTATTCAAATAATTTGTCGATTTCAGTTGGTATTTGAAATAAGATTTAAATTTATACAATATATCATTATGGTCTGGAAACGCTTTGAGCCCTAGGTAGATCAGAGGTTAACATATACCTTTTTAAACTTTAATTGAAATTGCTTTTATACGATTGTAGCCAGATTTTGCAGTCCACAGAATTGCGATCACATCCTGGTAAACAGAGGTCTACTGTAAAAAATATATACTCTTACTCATACTCTTTAATTTTGTTATCAAACGGTTTTAATCCATAGTCTCAAATGTTTTTTGGAGATCAATAAAAATGGCCAACGTAAGAGAATTTTTATCAAATTTATATTTACAGTCATATTAAACAGGCTGAATAGCTGATTCGTAGTTATGCTTGCTTCTGAAGCCCGATTGTATTCTAGTGATAAGTTGAATATGTTCTTTAAAATTAAAAATTTGTTCATAAAGGACCTTCTCAATGTCTTAGGAACAGGTACTACCGTAGCAATTTTTAAAGCATTAGGTATTTTTAATATTTCTAAGGATTGATTTATCAAATTTGAAAGTGGAAAATAGTTTTTTAAAATATCTGTGCTACTTATATTTTTTATTACAAAATGGATATCTCTTAAATAATCCATTGTCTGTCTAAATTTGATAATCTGGTATTGTATCATATTAGACAACAAACTTCTCTGGAACACACATGAGAAGGAAGTAGTAAATAAGGCGACAAAAACCCTAATGGTATGCAGAAACATTGCGGGTAAACGATGGGGATGTAACCCAAACATACTGCGATTGGATACTCTATATATAAAATTTATTGAGCATTCCTCAAGCCGAAAATATTTTTATAATCAAATTATTTTCTAGTTCAAGTTCGATTCATTTGACTTATTATTTTTTGAAAGTAAACATTCAAGAGATTTTCAAATTTTCTTGGAATTTTCCCCACTTTCCCTATTTCTCTGGATTTACTTTTTTTGCACCATTTACATTATTGGGGTCCTATTCATATGTATTTTATATTCATTCCATTTATTTTATTTATTTTTTGTTAATATTTTTTATATACAAGATACTTGTACCTTGTAGCAGCTTTTACATTTTATTAAATCAAAATTCAAGTCCTTACTTCGGCTTCCAATTTCAAAAGCGGATAGGTCATCATTATTTATTGAATAATACATTTGTTAAAAGCATAAAATGATATGAAATAACCTGCTAACCTCAACTGAGACTGAATCGTTATTTGTTACAACTAAATCTATGTACCTCCATAATTTCTATTTGCTCTTGTACATTCCGCAACAATATTTTTTACTTCAGAATTATCAGGTACATTTTCTACAAATCAAGTGCTAAAACAATCTAAAAAAATGTATATTCGTGTCAACGTTCAATTTTATATTTCAAAATAAAATATTGTTTTAGTTTTACAAACTAATTTTTAATACTCATTCTTATTGTTGAAAAATCAGAAATTTGTGTATCAGTGATTGTACATATTCTAACAAATATTTCTATTTTGTTTGATACGGTAAACATTTTTGGTTTAGTAAGTTTGTAGTGATATTTCGATTACATTCTTACAGTCTTATGAACGTATCACTAGTCAAAAATCTAAATAGAACGTAGTTTGACTGATCCGAACTTGGTATATTTATTTTCTACTCCCACAATGACGACTTTTCATGATAATGTCCAATAGCAAACAATTCCACATTTTTAAAATATTTTTATGGCCTATCGAGACATATTAATGACTAGACTGTTGACAGGTCCATAAAAATGTAGCCAGGATGTGGTCGAGTCAACCGCGAGTTGCAGTTTACTTTGACTACAAATTTGTGATCTCAACTTTAAAATGTGGCTCGTGTACTACCTCTTTTTAATTTGATATTGGGCTACAGGCTACCAGGCCTTAAAAGTTTATACAATTATTTTGAATAATTAAAAACATAAAAAAGTGGAAATACGAGGTTTGTAAAGTCTGTAAAAGGTATCTGTATTTATTTTCAACATTTCAGTTATTGTATAGAATAGGGTGGTGGAAGAAAAGTCTTTTATTTCTCACAGAGTGGTCAGTGTATTGTAAATTAAAAAAAAAGTCTTCCACCAACCTATTCCTTCCTATACCTATAGCTCACAGATGGTTACCCTCACCTCTGATATTGTTAGAAGGGTTTGGATAATGTTAATTCTAAATCTAGGTTTCAAGCGTCCATCGCCTTCATTTTATAATGGATTAATCGATATCCCCGTATTCCCTAAGTAAATCTTCGATCCTGCTTTATTTGTATTGGAGTGCATAGTAAATGGCTCTTGCATATCAGGGTAAAAAGCGTCACAGTATCGTCAGTCACATGCCGCCATCGTTACTGACCTGTAACTGGCCACTACCACTTTTTTTCGTCTCCGGCACATGTGAACGTAATTTACTATTCACTCCCTACCTTGCCAGCACTGTATAAACTCAATTATTTTTTCCTGAAGACAATCGAAGATAACACTAATTGGAAAACTAGATTTAGAATGAGCGTGACAAAAAAAAAACATTTCTAAGTATTGTAATATTTTAATTATATCAATGTTTTGTTAATAAGACACTATTTGCAATAAGTGTCTAATTTATTTATTAATTTTCCAGTATTATTAGAGCACAAACATGCTACTGAAGACAAAAATATGGCTTTTGATGTACGTAATTTTCTGTAATTATTATAGACAGTTTATTGTAGATATCGTCAAGTGAAACAGTTTTATTAAATACTCAGTAAATTTGATTTTTCAAGTTTTGAATTTTATTTACCCTAAATCACATTTTTTTTGTATATTTTTTAAGGTCGTTCTTAATTAAATATAAGGGTTAAAATATATGGACAGATGGATTAGCAGACTCTTCTTTCTTTATCTTCAAGTTCAAAAATTTCAAATGCAAAAATCTCGGAAACAAAATGACCCGTCGATTCCAGGACAAACATTCAAATGAAGTACGTAGAGAGGCTTTATCGACCCATGCAATAAGTGTCCCATTTTTGTCGATATCGGATTTCATAGCCAAAAGAAAAAAACATTTTACTCTCCGATATTCATGAAACTTAGCATAACATTACAGTAGCTGTCTGGTTCTCTCTATCTTTGGTGCTTGTTGAGAAACGAGCCCTTAACTTTTAAACTTACTATTAAAAAAGGGGTGTTTAGTAAGTTAAAAAATTGCAACTTGGTACTCGAATCTTTGTATCAGGATAACAGAAGAGCGAGGAGGTATGGAAATTATTTTGGGTTTCCCTAAATTTTATACAGTAACTTGATTTAGGAACTTAATTTTCCAGACACAGGAGGAATTACTACTACACATAATCCGGCTAGTCTGGAGCTGGGATATATACCAGAAGCATGGAGAAGGGCCAGAGTCACCTTTATTTCAAAAGTAGGGAAAAAGGATACCACCCATCCTAAATCCTTCCGACCAATCAGCCTCACATCCTTTGTATTAAAAACAATGGAGAAGGCTGTTGATAATTATATCAGAACGGAAGTCCTGCCACTCCAACACAGCCAACACACGTACCGAGCAGGAAAATCTACTTAAACTGCCTTGCTACAGTTGACTGACGTAATCCAGGATGTACTGACAAAGAAACGGTTGTGTGTGCCTTCCTAGACAGAAGGAGATTTTGACAACACGCCACACGAATCTGTAAAAAGAGCACTTGCATACAGAGGAGTAGATAACATCACATCCAGATGTATGGCTCAGCTGTTATCTACGAGAACTGCAGAGACAGATAGGACAGGACACCATCACCATCTGTACAACCAGAGAATGTTCACAAGGAGGAGTTCTATCCCCACTAATGTGGAGCTGTAGACGAACTTCTATGCAGATTGACTGACCGGCATACCCTGTCAAGGTTATGCCGACGACATAGTCATATTTGCTAGTGGCAAGTTTAGTAATATCTTGTGTGATATAGTCCAACGAGGACTAGAACATACCAAAAAATGGTGCCGTGAAGTGGGACTTAGTATAAACCCTACAAAAACAACACTTAGCCTTTTCAAGGAAAAGAAAACAATCTCAAAATCGTTAAATTAGACGGGTTAGATATAGAATGGAAATATGAAGTCAAATATCTAGGCCTAACCCTAGACAACAAACTTCTCTGGACACACATGAGAAGGAAGTAGTAAATAAGGCCACAAAAGCCCTAATGGTATGCAGAAACATTGCGGGTAAACGATGGGGATGTAACCCAAACATACTGCGATGGATGTATAGTGCAATAGACCAATCTTCACTTATGGGGCTATAGCCTGGAGTAACAGAACTAGTTTAGCTACTACGAGAGCTAATATCTCAAAAGTACAAAGCCTAGCCCTGTGTTTGCATTACTGGTGCAATGAGAACCTGTTCTACGGCCGCAATGGAGGTGATCTTAAACCTCACCCCTCTACATTTGATGATAGAGAATGTGGCAAAAAGTACACGATATAGAATGATCAGGAACGGAGTAATCAGACGAAAGTCTACTTGCTTCAGGACTAAAGATACCTGGGACATGTCCCAGGATGAAATGCTAAAGAAGTACAATTTTGTGAAAAACTTCAAAACCACAGAGCTGGGCTGCAAGAAAGAATGGAGCCAAGAATCCATCGCGCTTGCAACCGAAAGACGTGCTATTTAGTGGTATACGGACGGTTCCAAAACTCTAGAAGGAACTCGAATAAGAGTGCATGGGCCGAGAGCCAAGCACTCCGAAAGCTTGGGAAAATACCCAAGCATCTTCCAGGCGGAAATTCACGCCATCGAGAAGTGTTCTCAGTTTAACATCGAGAGAAACTATCATAGACAAGAGATTATCATCATGTCCGATAGTCAAGCAGCCATCAAATCGCTGAGCTCTTACGTTATCAGCTCAAAAATGGTCTGGTGCATTGGCGACAGAAGGGGACACAATAGATCTTTGAGGTCGCAGTGTATTGACACCCCATTCCCAACATAACATCCCTTTTTAAAATACCTCGTCGCTCTCCTGTATCCTGATACCAAAATGTTATCGACGAAATTCCAACTTTTCTTACTCGAATCTTTGTATTAGGATAACAGGAGAGCAAAGAGGATTGAATTTGATTGCGGTACCATAAATTCTTATACCAAAATTTTGTCAACGAAATTACAACTTTTGGCACTCTGAGTTTGTATTAGGATATCATGAGAGCGAGGAGGTATTAAATTTGTTTTTACGTTACCATAAATTATACAGTAACTTGATTAAGCAACTTAATTTTCGCCGTTTTTAAAATGTCTCCTCGCTCTTCTGTTATCCTGATACCAAGACGTTATACTCGAAATTGCAACTTTTGTGACTTGGATCTATGTGTCAGGATAACAGAAGAGAGAGGAGGTATGGAAATTATTTTGCGTTTCCCTAAATTTTGTACACTAACTTGATATATGAACTTTATGTTCCCTCCCTATTTAAAATACCTCGTCGCTCTCCTGTTATCCTGATACCAAAATTGTATCAATAAAATTTCAACTTGATACTCCGATCTTTGTATAAGGATAACAGAAGAACAAGGGGGTATGAAAACATTTTATTTCGACTCCGATGTCTATGAAATTAGGTACTGCGTTACAGTAAGTATTTCAAAATGTTGGTGTCTTGTTTCTCTCTATCTTCAGAAATTAGCCTCAACTTTTAAACAATTTCTATCAGAAAGGAACTGAGTATTTTTGTGAGTTCTAGACGTTCTATGCGTATACTGATTTATATAATTTTCTAATTTCCTAAGAAACTTTGAAAAACAAAAATTCGTCTCTGATTTTGCAATGCAATTTTTGTACATATAAAAGAGAGCACGACAACCTAAGAGGTGAATTCAGTTGCTTTTCATCTAAAGATTGTAATATTTTTTTCATTTTTCCGGTATGGCGACAGAAGGGGGCACAATAGATCTTTTAGGTCGCAGTGTATTAACACCCCATTCCCAACATAACATAATATCCCTTTTTAAAATACCTCGTCGCTCTCCTCTTATCCTGATACCAAAATGTTATCGACGAAATTCCAACTTTTCTTACTCGAATCTTTGTATTAGGATAACAGGAGAGCAAAGAGGATTGAATTTGATTGCGGTACCATACATTCTTATACCAAAATTTTGTCAACGAAATTACAACTTTTGTATTAGGATATCATGAGAGCGAGGAGGTATTAAATTTGTTTTTACGTTACCATAAATTATACAGTAACTTGATTAAGGAACTTAATTTTCGCCCTTTTTAAAATATCTCCTCGCTCTTCTGTTATTCTGATACCAAGATCTTATATTCGAAATTGCAACTTTTGGGACTTGGATCTTTGTATCAGGATAACAGAAGAGAGAGGAGGTATGGAAATTATTTTGCGTTTCCCTAAATTTTGTACACTAACTTGATATATGAACTTTATGTTCCCTCCCTATTTAAAATACCTCGTCGCTCTCCTGATACCAAAATTGTATCAACAAAATTTCAACTTGGTACACCGATCTTTGTATAAGGATAACAGAAGAACAAGGGGGTATGAAAAAATTTTATTTCGGCTCCGATGTCTATGAAATTAGGTACTGCGTTACAGTATTTCAAAATTTTGGTGTCTTGTTTCTCTCTATCTTCAATGCTTTTTGAGAAATTAGCCTCAACTTCTAAAGCTATTTCTATCGGAAAGGAACTGAGTATTTTTGTGAGTTCTAGACGTTCTATGCGTATACTGATTTATATAATTTTCTAATTTCCTAAAAAAAAATTCGTCTCTGATTTTGCAATGCAATTTTTGTACATGTAAAAGGGAGCACGACAACCTAATAGGTGAATTTGTGAAATTTGTATAAGGATATTAGGGGATATAGGTATTTAATTTGATTTTGCATTATCCTAAATTACACAATCTTGCTCATTTGTTATCTGATACCAGCCACTTTTGATTGGCAACACAGAAGTTCGTAATAATGGTTGCCGCTACAATTTAATGAAGGAACTTGGATGATTAGTCTTTCTTTTTTGTCATTGCTAGCTTTGTCTACCGAGTAGTAGATGGCGCTGGAAAATAAAAATGCTAAATTGCCATTGTCTTCCTAGTTACAACGATGTATTGTATTCATACAACATACAACAGTTACAATATGATATTTCAGGATTAAGATGTCTCATAACAGTCACTCATTTTTTGAAATTAACTAGGGAAATAAAGCACAATAAATATTAATACAATTTATTTGAACATATTCTGTTTGAAAAACACAATACAAATGGTATGTACACAATAGGGTACCATTTCTATAAAATACCTCTAAAATGGGTGTATTGCATTTATATGTACAAAGATAAATAAAAATATCAATTTACCACTATAATAAATTCACTAATGTTCATGTGTGTGTCTGCGATGTACTTTCTTTTGGAAGGTTCTGGAGAAAAGTTATTTGGATCTGATGGAAGGACGGTTAACATATCGACTCCTTATTGTAATATATAAAATCTCCACACTATTCATGTTTTATTCCTCAAAAGATTGTTAAAGACTTTTCTAGGAGGTTCGTTAAGTCTTCTTCAGTTTGTTCCTTGGGTGCTATGTTAAGCAAGCGTTTCTACAACACATATTAAATACATTTAACAGATAAAAGTACCTACAATATTTGAAAGGTGAAATGTGATGGTCATTTTAGGCGTTTGGAATGTAAAATAAAATCGTTCGTGAACCGGCAATACCTCCTAACCCAATGTGGACAAATTTTACAGGAGGAGGTTAAAACTACTAAGCAAAGAATATGATCGGAAAGAGTTCTGTTGAAGATACTGTGGATCTTTTGCCACTGGGAAAGATAGGACTAAATGCCGCCAATATATGCTTCAATAGAAGGTATTGTCATTGAAAAAAACTGGCATTTATTAATACTGTGTATTAATATTGCACAACTTTTTGCAACAGATAACGCCCAGAATAATCATTTTCGGTAAAAAGTTAGGAAGTATTGCCGGTTAATGGACGAAATGCTGTTTGAATGTGGGAAAACCTAGTGAAGTAGGTGGTGAAGGAATCAGCTAAAACATTTAGTATATGAAGAAAATAATAGTGGCTACAGGAGATACACTGTAAGGAAAAAGACGAGATTGTTAAAAAGTAGCAGAATTCAAGAACGCAGGCTCTCTCACAACCCCCTTCACCCCCTTAATACATTTAATGTGCCTATCAATCATGTCAAAACACGGCCACAGGGCTTGATTCCATTAACAGAAGAACGCTAAAAACCTTTCTGAAACCATGTTTCCCATTCTCACCCTTCTCCTGAATGCCTGCCTTTCTCTATCCTAGTTTTCACTTGCCTGGAAGTCCGCAAACACAATTCAAATTTCCAAACCAGGCAAGGATCCCAAATCATATCTGTACTAAACTTCTTGAACTTTTGATCAAGGGGACGCCCTCACTTCTCCCCGCATCACTGTGAATTCAAATCAAATTTCTCCATCAACATCATTATCTTCTACCTCACAGACAGAACCATCACAGTCAATTCAGGCAACGCCTTGTCTCACCCTCAAGCAGGGGTACCGCAGGGCTTAGTTCTAGCTCTTCTTCTATACCTCATATACACACATGATCTTCCTCCCCCAAAACACACATACGCCGATGATACTGATGCTCTTCTTTCAGTAGCCCAAAATTCTGATCAACTAAGAATCCGAACCCAAAATCTGCTGAACCATTATACTCGTTATGCGGTAGATAGAGGGTCTCACTCGAACCTTAAAAACCCAATTAATCTTATTCAAACTCCCAAATTCTCGAAAATTCCTTTGATCTCCAGGAGCTCGTAAAATAGACTGAGGTTGACTACCTGGGGGTGAGATTCACTGCTCACACCCTCAATTGGTTCTCTGATGTTCGACGCACGTTGATATGATGCGTATAGGCGAGCTGGACTCATCGGAGCTCTATGTGGTCGTTTTTGTCGTTGCAACCCAGAAACACTCATCCACGCACCTACACATCCATCCCGTTGCTAAATACAGAGCAGTACTATACGGTAACTTCCCTCTCAGCCCACAAACTCACCACACTAGAGAGACGTGTACTCCGACGATGTCAATATTTATCTTTTCGTTTTCCTAGTAGACAAGTCTACTACCAAACCAACAATATCCCCAACTCGGCCCGTTTCTAACTACTCAGGAAACAGTTCTCTCCAACTCTGAATGGCACCAAATACCCTACAAACCCCTTGGCGTCTAAACCACCAACCTCTTTTTCGAAAACCGAAAAGAAAAATAGCACAACCAAACCTTCGACCTCTCGCCGACGCTCAAACATTAACTCTCCCATTACCAGAAATTCTATAGGACTTACTGCAGCCCCTAATATATATCAATTAGATAGAACCCAACATACCCAAACAACCCAACAACTTACCAATTAGCATTACCATAAGAACCAACTTGTACATAATCGTGATGTCATATTTTCAACTTTATCTTGGACTTGGACTCCAAAATAAAGTTACAAATAGCAAAACTGGCAATTCTTATACACTAATTCTAATACAATAGGAAAATAGGTTACTAATTTGTAATCAGGGCACACCACCCTGAAAAGGGTAACAGGAAAATGAAATGTCCAATAAAAATGTAAACACAAAAATAAATAAATAAAGTGCTTATTATTTTGTATTAGGCATAGCAGTGAACCTGTGGCAACTACGATATCCCCGCTATCGTTATACACTTTGATTTTGTCACCGACATTCGGTTTGGCTAATATCTCACCAACATATCTTCTTATTCCAGTTGACGACTGGCTGTGCCCGTTGCCATTTTATTAACTTATGTACTAGTCGTATGCCTAATACGACAAAATAAGTACTGTATTAAAATAAATAAAAGAACACAGAAAGTAAAAAAGGGTGCAGATGCTTAGGAAAATGTCTATAAGAATCTAAGAACAAGGGAAGATAATATCTGAGAAGCAGATATTTTGTCCAGGTCAAATGAGACCAAAAAGGTTTAAAAAAAATTAAGAAATAGAAAAATAAGAAAGGCCAGGTCGTGATAAGAAGACATTATGTAAAAAATAAATACCTGAGGCAACGTCCCTTGGACCAAAATTGGAATGTCGTCCTTACTGTATCCTAATTCCTTTAGACCGTTTTCAATTTTCATGGTATACATGTATTTCTTTATAGTGTCTGATAAAATCGTTCCAGCATCTTCTTTTTTGGCGTTTTTAATATCAATTCCTAAAATCTCAACGGCTTCTAAGTGTTTTTCTGGACAAGCAGAGGCGGTAAATTCAAAAACTGCTGGGGCAGTCATTACAACTGATAATCCATGTGGAATGATTGGGTGGTCTTGGCTGTAAACAAAAATATTAAATTATACACATATTTATATATTTTTTATCTGGATTTGGGATTACATTTTTTTTAACTATTGAGTAAGAAAGTATCTTAATTGAACATGTCATTATGTAGTTAAAATTGTGTCATACTCCAGAATATTATTTTAAGATACATTTCCAACCCTGCTTGAAGGGGGCGCACTCAAGATGGGATACTGTTAAGATTTAATAGCAATTTATTCTAAAAAAATCGCACTTCAAATGTCTTTCTCATTTTACGTTGTACAAAATGTTATTATACTAAATCGTAACACCCCCAAAATAAAATACCTAGGTGCGCCGTTAGGAATGGGGTGGGGTTGCAATGTTCCTTTGGACGACAGTAACATAAAGACAGAGGGAGAGGCTAGGCGCGAGACTAGTGTGCATTTACGTTCTCGCGGCAGTTAAGCAGAGATGTCTTCGGTCACGACTTGGACTAGCGATTAACCATCGGCGACGTGGAATGAATTTTGATGAATGAATTTATGATGACGAATGGTAGCACAATAGGCCATCTGCGTCTCAGTGCCGCCATGCGAACCCCAAGAGGAGGGACAGCAGACTGGATCCCAAAGCCTGATTAAGGGGAGCCAGTGGCTGGATTTAAGCCTGAATGGAGGAATCAGCCAGAATCCCTCGGGGGCGAGCAGAAAAATCATAACTCAATAAAAATAAAAGCAAACGCACACTACTAAAAATACAGCAACAATGGTCAGCTCCGGCCCTAGCCTTCGACCAGAACAGATCAAGATTGTCTTTCGGTGCCCTTTGGTCGATGCTTTCACATTATATAAATTGTATTTCAGCGCAACCACGCGCCTGTCAAAAGACACCATCACTTGATGCCTAGAGCGACCGCTCTTCTCGCTCTACCACAGGTCTGGCGCTGACAATGGGAACTGAATAGCGATTTCAGAAGAAAAAAACTATGTGTCCATCAACTTCTACAATTCCTCAGGCGAAACAATATCCAGCAATTTCATAAACCCTAGGTAGGGATATACTTTGAAAAAGTTGGGTCTACCTGTAATGCCATGCACGCACGACGTACTATCTTGTCATCTCGTTACATATTTGGATAACCTTTGTGTCTGTGACAGTCTAGCAAGAATAAGATAAAGATTCAAGTCACCTCACGGCTACTTAGCAATTGACGTTCCTAGGAGTTGGGATTGTTTATACTTTTATTATATTATTTGATGGAATCCATCAATAAATAAAGATTTCACACTACTCTCGATAACAAAATTCAGATGTTCAGAATAGTGCATTCAAATCTTGAGACATTGAAAGGCGTCTTCCTCAACCTTTGCACGTACCATAAGGAAGGTAGTAGATGCATACCTAATACAAGTACTTTGGATCTACAAAGATCAAGTGGTGCGGCCTAGACAAACCAGATGAAAGCAAATATGGATACACAAGGACAATCACTTTCTAAGGAGAGCCCCAAAACGAGAATGGTGAAATGCGAAACGGGTAGTTACCAATGGTAAAATAATATGGGCTATAATAGTAAGAGAGCCCACTGCAAATTTCAAACGTCATCTGATAACGAAATGAAATATCCTCCAAAGGCAGGTAGTTTACCAAATTGCACCTGTGCCAATCCATATCCTGAGAAAAGTGGCTAAAAAAAATTATTTTATATTCTAAAAATCACATAAGACATGACAGCGACAATTTTGTTTGCCCTGAATTATTAATATTTTTAACTACCTTTTAAACCTTGTGCATGTGTGAAAGGAAGAAGGATGGCATTGTATAAACCATTTGCAGAGATAGTCAATAATTATTATAAAGTCTTGTTAGAAAATTCTTTCAAACCATAATCATAGTAGTTATTTTGTCGTTTCTATGGCAACCTGTAAAAATGAATCACAACAATAGGCATACAAATAAATTTTTAATTCAGCAAAAATTGACTCATATTTTTAAAGATTTTTACCTACTATTCGTGGATGGATGTTAAGAGGCAGAAAATGTTTCTCTTTAACGATAGATATATTTGAATATGTTATTTTCTGGAAAACTTTAATGGCAAACAAAATTAGCGCTGTCATGCCTGCTTTGGAATTGTCGGTTTTCTTGTTTTAATCTGACAGGTTAAAACGACTAAACCGACAATTCCGGAAGCAGATGATTAAAACGCACTTGATATTTTGCTTGCTGCTGTCAGTGTCAGTGAATATTATTTTTGGAGTCACAGTTTTTTGCTAAAGAATCAGTTAGCTCACTCGGACCAGTTGAAAATTCCAAAATAACATCCACTCCAGGGATACAAATTCAGGATACGCAGAAGACTGCTGTTTTATTATAGGCGGTTGTCATATATTGTATTATCCGAGTTGCGCAGTGTATAAACTGGAACATTGAGATCAAAAGTGCCGACGCAGAGTGAGCTATCTGATTCTTTACCTATAAACTGTGACATAGGAATCAAAATGGCCGCGCCCTATGTTGGGCGTGTCGGACCTCTCTCTTGCACCGTATAGTGAAGCCAAATAAACCAATAACTCTGCCGTCTTCTCTATTGACAGAACTGATAAAGTAATTGATCCGGCAAACATAGATGCCATGTCACTCATGTCACACAATCAATTAGGAAATATAGATTGTTACGAATAATAATATAGTTACTATACACTCTATTTTGTTATTTCATAATTACCTATAATCATCTGGTATGAAAGTTTTAACATTTCCTGCTATCGGATAAGAAAGACCATGAGGTAAATGAACTCCTGCACTTCCAAAACCTACGCCAGCCATTGTAGATGCTAGGAGCATCTGAGATCTTGCTTCTAAATCATCAGAATTGTATACAGCCCTAAATAAAATTTCGTTAGTATTAAAATCTTTTAAATATTGTAGTGTATACCTCTCAAAATATATTTTTAGGATATTAAGTGCAAATTTTGCCCATACATCAGATATCGGATTGCTTCCATTATATGTGGGTCTGTCTTTGGGGTTTTTAGGACAGGGTGTTCTCTCATTGTATGGTATAGCAGTAAATGATTCTAAGGCGTGACAAAAAACATCAAATCCAGCATATGCACTCACTCTTTCTGATAAAGTAAGAGTGTGTAAGGGGTCTATCAATCCCAAAGTAGGTCTAAGCGACATATGAGATATACCAGTTTTTACTTTTAATGGTTCATAATCGAAAACCACTACACCTGTAGTTTCACTTCCTGTACCTGCAGTAGTTGGAACTAAAAATTATGACATTATTGAAAAAAATACCTACCTGTGTAAACTACTCAAAACGAAGAAGTAACCACTTTTAGAAATGTATCTAATATGTTTTAAAATATATCGTTGGTACATAAGAATAGTGGCACAACTCAAAAACAAGATTTTCGAGGACACCCAATTAAAAAATATTTAAATATTTTTTGGAAAATAAATATTAATGTTGTATTCAAATATAATAACAAGTTTGCTTTGATAAAATTAAGAAAAAAACTCAAAAATATATATATTAATCCCTCTTTTGAGTTATGACGATCTTTTCAAGAATAATGTTCAAATTTGACTTGTGCCACCGTTGAAAATATCGTTCTTACTTAGTTTATTTTTAATAAAAGTGGTATATTTTGATTTATGTCACTATGACGAACTTGTCTCAATAAATTTTTAAATTGTGTCACTGTTCTTGTGCACCAACGATATATTTTCTCTAATAATTAGGACAATTTTTTGTAATATTTGTTCATTAAAACTGACACAAAATTTTATGTTTATATTGAAATAAGTTTATAAAAAAAATAATAAATAGGCTTCTAATTCGTTAAGAGTATATAGTTTAAATAAAATAATTATTTTTTTTAACCTGCAATTAAGGGTTTAAGCTTCACATTTACTATTTTTCCTTTGCCTATGGGTGCATTTACATAGTCCAAAAACTCAGCTTCTGGATCTGATGAATATAAATTTGCTGCTTTACAGGTATCTATAGTTGAACCACCTCCTACTGCAATAAATGCATCAAAATGTTTACCTCTTGCGAAGTCTATGGCATCCATCAAACTAAACAGTGTTCACAAATATTTATGATCTCATTGTGGTTGCTTTAAAGGCACTTATAAAAGTGCAATGTTTCTAAAGTAGGCCATGACCGACAAATATAGAGGTATAAGTCATGTCCGTGATAACTATATAGGCACAAATTCAAATTAACACTTAAAAAGAAGAATCGTACGCTCCTACAAGCGTGAATTTTTCCAAAGCCTACTTTACAAACACCCTATATTTATAGATGTGTATTATACTCTAGTTTTTTTATTATATTTACATTACTACTTAAAGAATATTGCTGGTAATAACTTGTACATAATCAGTTACTTATTGTAAATATAGACGATTATAGTATTGGTATAATAAAGAATGTTTTAGATATCAGTTTTCACCAGTCATAAACGTAATAGTTACCTTTTTTCTGTTGGTTCTACCCTACTTTTATAATAAACTTCGTAATTCACACCATTTTTTGTTAATGAATCCAAAGTCGTTTTGACTGGTTGTAAATTTATTAAATTCGGGTCTGTTACTAGGCATACATTTTTAGCACCTATGTTTATTATATCCATACCAATTTCCTGTGTTACTCCTATTCCGTACCTGACCCTAGAAGAAGCCATCTAAACAAAAATATAAAATTTGTCAGTTTAATTTCTATTTTAAAATAGGTGCCTATATATTTACCTCAAAGACATAGTCCTTGCCAGGCGAAGATGTGGAACTTAAAAAATTTATTGGTCCTGTGTTTGAATTGGAATGTGCTGGACATCTGCAACTAAAAGAAAACGTTATTCATTACAAGGTAAAACTAGAATGGAGATATACAGGGTGTCCCAACGAAAAGTACCCACCCTAAATTACTGCGGAAGTCATAACTTTCTAATAACAATTAGTTGGTGTGCTAACCAGTATCGTGTATTTGGGTAATTCCAACAATCATCTGTTAAAGAAATAACCAATCATTTTAATTTCGTGTTTTAATTTTTAAAATCCCAAATTATTAAAACAGTTATTTCCACAAACCCATTGATAAATTTTACATGTAGACGATTGTAAAGAGAAGTCAAAGATCTTTTAAAAGAGGTATCATTCGACCCCTTGCAATTTAAATTTTTTAAGGGGGTGTCTGTGTAGAGCAGAGGGGTGACGTTACATATACAATTATTATGGTAAAATGTGTCCCCTTTGAAATCAAGGTCGACGTGTTTCACCACTTTTTTAAAAAGTTATTGCCTTCGTAATTATTTAGAGTGAGTACTTTTCGTTGGGACACCTTGTATATAATGCTTAGCATTCTATATTATACTCTTCACAGTTTAACAGAGTCCCCTTAACCCCATTTTTAATCAGATTTTTTTCAGAATCAATAGGCTTGGCTTCATCCCCTTATATATAGTTCGATTTTTCCTGAATATTTCAAGTTTCATCCCCTTATATAGTTCGATGTTTCCTAAATATTTCAAGTTGATATTGCTTATTTCTCAGTTAGGATTTTTTTTTAATATTTCAACCCCTTTTAACCTCTGATTTTTATTCATTTTTTTTTCAAACTCAATAGAAGCTTCATCCCTTTATTAGAGCATGATTTTTTCTGAAGATTTCACAAGTTGATATCTCTTTTTATTTAGTTAGGAATTTTTTAATAGTTCAAACCCCTTTAACTTCCATTTTTATTTAATTTTTTTTTCAGAATCAATAGGCTTCATCCCTTTATAGAGCATTATTTTTATTAAAAATTTCATGTTGATATCGTTTTTCGTTTTTGATTTTTTTAAATTTCAACCCCCCTAAACCCCCACTTTTAAGGCTTCGTCCCCTTATAGAACTTGTTTTTTCCTGAAAATTACAAGTTGATATTTTTCGTTTTTAACTTATCGTATATAATTATATAAAAATATGTTTTAAAACCAACCTTTAATTATAGTGAAAGAAATAATTACCTACATTTTAATTTCAAGGCATGAGCTTACATTAGGTATTTTGAAAAACATATGTTCACTCTATATAACTATATATCACTGACCCTGCCAAAGTCCTTAGGCAGCCATTTTGTTTGGAATGCAGAATTGTAGTAAAATACCACAGAACACATCAAATGTGGCCAAATTAAAATAAATTTAAATTCTAAATTAAACGATTAGCATTGAAAAACACTTCTTATTAGGCATTCCAAACAAAATGGCTGTAGGTAAGAAGGATTGGTATATCTAATAATAAGGGGTTGCGACATAGAATGTATTCTATCTAAAACACGTGATATCATGAATAATGGATTAAATTATATTTTATGTGAAGCAAAATGAAAATATTATTTTTTACAAATTGGCTTAGCGACTACACTATTTCGAATAAAAATAGCGTCCAAGATGGAAGGCTATGTCGCAGACCCCCTACATATACGAGCCCTGCCCACGGGCAGTTATTGTTTGGCAGGTCGATGGATGCTAATATAAATCAGAGGTTAACCTTCAAATAGAAGATAATACGCCCATAAAATTACGCAGGTAATATCAACAGGTAACTTACGAATTTGAAGACACTGTATGAAGTAAATCCAAAACCCTTTTCCTAGTTCCCATTTTTTTTTATAAAAAACGTACTTTTTACTAATCACAAAATTAATAGTAAACATATACACGTTGGCTCTGTGGTGTATCTGTATCAATTATATCAAATCAAAGGTTATTTTTAGTTTAATTTTCCTATACCACATAAATATAATATCTTTTGTATAAGAGATGGCAGTAGTATACCATTTTGAGAATGAAAGTCTGATAGCCGTAAAATATGGTTGGTGAATTTATAAAAATGATGACTATTTATAGCAACTTATGAATGCTAAACACGTGAGCTTTATATATTATGTAAATTAATTTAAAATATTTGTCAATCTAGAAGGTACAGTCACAAGTTATAATACGTGACATATATGTTTTTAAAAATTAAACAATTGGTGCTTAGGCACTTAGTTTTAAACTGGGGCTCCCTAAAATTGATCCTTTCAATTTAATAATAATGTTTATTTATTTTAAAACATACAATTATAAAAAAACATAAAAAAAAGATATATGATAAACATGAATAAAACACTTATTTGTACTATATATAGATATATTTTTAAAAATAATAAAAAATTCAAAGAAAAATGGACCAACTTTTTCATATTATAAATAAATTAAAAAGTAGAATTTTTAAGAAATAGAATTGCCCAAAAATAAAATATTTCGAATTTGGTATACAGCAAATTTTTTTGAAGAATTATTCTTAGGAGCCATTTTGCACCATGTGTAAATCGTTTAGGAAGTTGTCGCATATGCATCCCTATTCTATTATCCCATATACTAATAATAACTGCATAAAGGTTCGTATACATTGTATATTTATAAAATCTTTCAAATATCAAATCTCACATTCGGCAGAAACCCCCTAAATTTATTAACCAGCTGTTTGGTGTATAAATCCCATTACAATAATACTCATATATTTAATTGAAGTTGATTCGAGAATTTATACATTTTACCATACAATTCTACCTCCAGAGGCATTAGGAAGACCTGTGGAATATAACAAAAAATGGCAAGTATTTTGTTAATTTAGGATGAAATTTATTGAATTAGAACCGTAATTTTTTTTTGGAAAACCGTTTTATATTTCATGTTTCTACCAAGATGTAGAATAAATGACAGTCGTTATCATCCGCAAAGGATTTTACTAGAAGTTATAGACATCATGAAAAGAACTGGTCCTAGCACGGTTTCCTGCGGGACTCCAAAGGTAAAGTGCTTTTGAAATTTTCTATTTGGACCAACTGTTCTCTTTCAGATAAAAAGCTTTCAAAAATATTGTAAGATTTACTCTACGATCATCATAACTACCTTTTTAAGTTTGCCGATAGTTTTTTATGACACAAAGCTTTAGAGAGTTTGAGAAATATGATTGGAATTTTTTATGTAACGATTAATATACTGTGGATTTAATTCATAAATAACATCATTAGTTAGTTGATTTCCCCTCTCTAAGGCATACTTTCAATATGATAAAATTTTTGTTTTTATATGTATGTATACCCTTTTCTACCGTATTGGCTCCATCTGTATCCTATTCTTTCATTTCTTTAAAATAAGATCAGTTTTGTTTAATGCATTTAAGCATCCATTGAAACCACAAATCAAAAATTTTGGATCACTGATTATTGCTTTGATAAAGAAATACATTTTCCTAAGTTGCAATTAATAAGGGAAGCAAATGATGGTGGGGGGGGGGAGGGGGTTTCCTCACCTGTAAGTCAAATTGCACCATCCATCATCTTTAAGTCACTCCAGAGCACCACGGCAGAAAATAATATTTCCCCTTCCCTAGACAAGCTCAGAGCGTTTGAGGTGAATTAGGGAGAGTATTTATATTATTATTATTAACATCAGTATCAAATCATCATCCTTCTAATAGATCCTTGACTTTCAGAAACAGATAAAAATCATAGGAGACAAGATCAGAAGTGTATAGGGAGAATGTCCAAGCAAAGGCAAATTGATTTCTTGTGTTACGAGAGCGGCTCTATGTGGTGGTACATTATCACCATTTTAAGTGGATTGGACAAGTTGCGGCACACAATCTTCAGTATATTATTGAGTAGCTACTGTTGGTTGTTCTAGGAGCTCAATTTTGATAAATCAACATTTACAAAAAAACTACTGTAGTGATAGTCAGGAGTTGTGATAAAATAATATAGTATGATTTAAATTATAATTTACCGAGCCACAAGTTGGTATTCCAAATGACCCAGCTCGACTAATTAAGCATTCCAACCATGATGCTCTGTAAGTTTTTGTATCATGCATTCCAACGACCTGTCCAAATGGCTGCCTGTTGACTTTGACCTTCCTCCATGGCTTCCCTGCTAGCACATAACGTTGCCAAGCCTTTCGGCGATGTTGCTTTAAGGGAACGTAATAACATTACTATGTAAATGCAACGTTCATGAGACGTTGTTGAGGGAAATCAAAACCTCGCAAAACTTCTATTTGTTACTTATCAATGTAACCTACCTGTTATGTTAACACAACGTAATAAAGTAATTTGCTTAAAAAAATATACACGAGAAGTACTGTAAACATCACAATCTGAATTCGGATCGTTTACGTCAATTGTCATTTGTCACTTTTTCTTGTCATTTGTCATGTTTTTGGTGGTTGTTTTTTAACCTGGAGAATTAATTTTATAAATAATTATTAGTTATACATTTAAGTAAATTTGGTAGGGGTCTCTGTAAAATAGAAAACTATTTTCTAAACCATTGTCTTTGTTTCAGATTACAATGCCTGGTGTAAATTTATTATTTCATTCATTAGGTACCCTATACAAAATGGTTTAACTACAATAAAAAACAAAGAATGTCAGATAAATCGTTGCAAACGAGAAGAAACATTTAACCAAATGTGCAGTTACATTTTACTCCAAATACTTATAAAAGAGATATACAAAACTAGCTTCTGGATAATAATTACTTAATCCAACTAAAAATACATTTTAAAAATATTATATTTTAGGTTTCTTTTGTAAACGATGACAATCTAGAAATTTTTGTCTAAATTTGTCTAAAGAAGAATACATAACACCTGAAATTTTATAAAAAAAGTGAATCTATAGCCTAGGTACATGGTACGGCTATATGGTAAAAAAAACATCATATTCAAGCAGTTCATTCTTTTCAACAGGCTTGAATGTATGTGGAAATCTAACCATCAGTTCAAGTACAAGTTGAGAGAAATCAAATTTATCTAAAAATAACTGCAACGATTTAAACTTGAGCACATTTTTTAATTTCTATATCATTTCCTTTAGTAATAGTTAAATAATTAGGTCAGTATCTTTTTTATTTAATATGTTGGAGAAAACTAAAGTCTTTTTATATAAAAATATAATTTATCCTCTTTCAATAAATTGTCATATATTTGTTACATTATAGCATAAATAAAAATATTTACAAGCCACATATGATTATAATAAAAGAATATTTATCACCTTCGTATAAATAATAAAATAACAAAATAAAAATATAGGTACATATCTATATTATCTATACAAAAAAATTTAAAAGGCTTGATTTAAAAAGATGATATATCTCTGCGTCTACAGGTAAGAAATCAGTATAATATGTACATAGTCATTGTTGCAGTCGTCTATTATTATTCACCGATCTAGTTTTCGGGTCCGATTACAATAATTAGAAGAACACAGCTACGTCATAACCATTATTTCGAATTTTAAATGCATATTATCTACAACTTTCAATAAACAAAAATTAAGTACGTTGTTAGGTGTAAAACAATATTTCTATAATATTAACACTAAACCCCCATTAAGCGGCGATAACCAATTAATTACGTTGCCAAATGATGACGTAGCTGTGTTCTTCTAATTGTAATCGGACCCTATACCATCGTACAATTGCCATCTTGGTAAAAAATCTTGTGAACCTTTAAAACATACCTTATATAAATATACTTTTTGTATAATCGTTCACCATTTATGCTTTTAGTGAATCTTTGCAATATTGGTACCGTATTATACTATTTAGCTAATTTTGTCCAATCGTTCAGTGCTTTATAGGTAGGTTCTACTATCGCACATGTATAATTGAGTTTGTGACGAGGGATTAACCGCCAGGGAAATCTCTTGTACACGACGGGGGAAGTCTGAAGGAAGTCAGAGGAAGTCCGGGGAAGTCAGGAGGAATTCAAAGGAAGTCGGGGGAAGTCAGGATGAATTCCGGGGAAGTCAGAGGAGTTCCGGGGAAGTCGGAGGAAGTCTTCAAACTCTAGTTATTATACGCATGCGCATTATCTCTCGAGTTGATACTAGATTCGTAAATTTCTGTGGCGTGGTTGGTAATAAAAGTAATAGATCTGCCACATGTCTGTCATACTTGTCACATTTTTCTCAACAATTTAACAAGTGCGATCATGAATACCTCGACGAATATTTGATTTTCGGTACACCCATAATATTCGCCAGTTTCATAGTTTTTATAAAAGGACATTAAAATCAAAACTAGTTAGTTGTGCATTCCAGTTCTGTGTTTATCAGCAAGTGCCAATTTAAGGTAAGAGGAGAAATATTTCGTATGTCTACTTAAGTGGTAATTCTGTAATTCAATACGTTAATTATTAACGGGTGTTAAATTTTAAGATTTTAACATAAATTGTAATTCTGTAAAAATAAAATTAACGCATATGTTAAATTTTCAAATAAATTACCATATACGTTAAAAATAGTTCAAATTTGCAATAAAAGTATGGTTACGTTTTAGGGTCTGTCAAATAAATGTCATTCCTTATGTCATATTTATTGTATCTGTCTGTTTTTGCACAAGAATATTAAAAAAAGTAGCGGCCGAATTTACTTTATAAACTATTTGGTAGGCCATCAATTTTCAATAAAAACAAAACTAACCCCAGTAACCTTATAATAGTGCACTTTTACGGCCAAACAATTACTAACTACAAAAAGTTTATATACAGTATAAAAAACAATTTCTAAATGGAATTTGTGTAATTTCAACTGTTAAAATTACTTGAGTACTATCAAAACATTCAAAAGTCATAATTAGTACCTGTTAATATCTTCGATTTAACGCATAATAAATTTTTAACATATTTTTGCGGCACGAATGAACTATTAAGTTAATTATGACAAGTTAAAATGTTTCATGAATTTACAGAATTGCTTTTCATATTTAACATACGTTATATTTTTAACGTCCATCAAATTTTAACATATTCGTTATAGAATTACCA